GGGGGGGGGGGGGGGGGGGGACCAATCAAACCATGCCAATGGACCAACCAACCAATCAAATCGTTTCTCAGAAACTACAAGAAAATCAACAAGAACAACTCTCCAGAATTTACAATTTCCCTCGTGTCCTTCATATTGTAAAGAGCATGAGAAATATACAGTTTTCACAGGTACAGTGGTCATAAATTCTCTCTAGACAGAATTATATTTTTTTTTGCTTAAATCTGCCAGCATACGTTCTTTGAAAAGCTGTACAAACTTGATAGGATAGCTTCTTAGCCGTCAAGGACGGACATTTTTAAATTTTAACTTATTTTGACCAGGAGGCAATGGATTTTGGTAGTCACACATTGGCCTCTGTCACCATTTTACCCTTAAAGATCGAAAAATACAAAAACGGTCCCACTAACGATTTCGCGGTTTTCGGTTCCTCAAATTGGAGATCTTCCGTGACACTTTCATCCAAGAAAATCGCGGAAAGTCTTCAGGAAAATTAAAACTTTTTACAAAAGACTGCAGCTGTTTGATGCAAAAGCCTACACCTAAAAAAAAAAACTTTAGTTCTATGCGAAAATCCCAACCTCTGATACATTTTACTGTGCACACATGAACGTCCTCCCATGCTGATACATGCATCCACAGTTGCACACTTGCAACAACGACCCAATACACATTTCTGTGCTACGACACCCGCCACAATCTTTCTAATCTACTTACGAGAAGGAGGTTTACGCTGAATTCAAAGCTAAAATAAACAGAGAGTCTAATCTATAGGATGGATTTGATACTCACTCTCTACCATGCGATGCATCAAAGAGGGATATGAACGTGCCATTTTCCATCACCCTGATAACGTTCCTACGCCCAAATACGTTTTTTCTACTCTGATTTACGTTCCCGCACCTGAATCCACAATTTTATCACAAATACAGGGTGTTTCAGACCACCCGTACCAGGCCTTTTTCTCGGTTGTTTTAGGTCGTACGAAGTCGGGGACCGCGGGGTTGAATAGGGAATTGACCCCAAGAAATCCGAATTTTGTGGTCCCGAAACCCCCTCACCTCCCCTTGGAGAGTAAACGGGGGTCACGATGTTAAAAGTCACGGTTCCCGACCGAATTGCGGATTAATCGCATTTGAAAAGCCTGGAAAATTTCACGTGAAATTGACCCCTAAAAATCCATAATCGGCCCATCCAAGGCCCAAAAATTACCCCCTAAAGAGGGGGACAGTACTCCCCTTCATAAATTCTCTTTGGTCTCAAAATTGACGTAGATTCTCCAGAGAAAGATGGTTTCCCGGGTAATCGACCCCGAGAAATCCAAATTCCATAGTCCCGAAGCTCCTCTATGCCCCCTTGTAAGTAAACGAGGGGCCCAATTTTAAAAATCGGGGCTCCTTTCCGAATCGCAAATTGATTGCATCCAAATTGAGGAGCAGAACACATTTACATCTTAAGTGATCCCCAAGAGTTCTAATTGACCCCCCTGAGAAGGGGAGCTTCGCCCCCTCCAAAAGTTTCTCAAGATTCCTCTTTGGTCGCGAAATTGACGTCGATTCTCTAGAAAAAGGCGGTTTCTTCCCAAAAGGGCGAGTAGCGGAGCTTAGGGACCATGAAATTCAGAGTCCTCGGGGTTGATTACCTAGAAAACCGTCTTTTTCTGGAGAATCGACGTCAATTTTGCGACCAAAGCAAAATCTTGAGAAATTTTTGGAAGGGGCGAAGCCCCCCTCCTCTCAGGGTTACTTTTAACCGTTCAGGGGGATCAATTAGAACTCTTGGGGATCACTTAGGATGTAAATGTGTTCTGCTCCTCAATTTGGATGCAATCAATTTGCGATTCGGAGGGGAGCCCCGANCCCCCCCCCCCCCCAAGGGGGAATAGAGGAGCTGCGGGACCATGAAATTTGGATTTCTCGGCGTCGATTACCTGGGTAACCATCTTTCTCTGGAGAATCTACGTCAATTTTGAGACCAAAGAGAATTTATGAAGAAGGGTACTGTCTCCCCCTTTAGGGGATAATTTTTGGGCCTTGGATGGGCCGATTATGGATTTTTAGGGATCAATTTCACGTGAAATTTTCCAGGTTTTTCAATTCTGATGCGATTAATCCGCAATTCGGTCGGGAACCGTGTCTTTTAGCATCGTGACCCCCTATTTACCCCCCCCCCCCCCCCCCAAGGGCAGGTGAGGGGGTTTCGGGACCACGAAATTCGGATTTCTTGGGGTCAATTCTCTATACAACCCCGCAGTCCCCGACTTCGTACGACCTAAAACAACCGAGAAAAAGGCCTCGTATGGGTGGTCCGAAACACCCTGTATGACACCATTGCAAACTCCATTAAAGTCACATTTATCACGTCACTATGCAACACGGCCCATCCCGCACACCTATATTCGAATTAAAATTTTGGTGCATTGCCTGGCAGCATGGCAATGTTAATTCATATTTTCATGCGTAATCTGGCAACACGGCAATGTTAATTCATATTTTCATGCACCATCTGGCAATACTACCCATTCTAACGTGCTCATTTTTACACAGGGTTACCCAAAAGACACCTACCACCCCTGTAACTTTTTTTCCGAATCAATACTGAAATTTGAAACTTGAGGAATGTTCCTGAGTCTGAAGTAGCAACTTTCTGGTCCCCCAAAAAGTTTTGCGGGCAGCCCCTCTAAAGGGAGCGGGGGCCAACTTTTTTTTCAAAATAGCAACTTCCTCTTTGTGACACCTCTTTCGAAATCCGATAAAACAAGAAAAAATTTGGCGCAAACTGCAAGTAAAAATGTTGATTTTTCACAGAATGGCCGCCGGTCAAAGTTCAAAACAACAGAAAGGAGGGGTTCCGATTAGGGCCGAAATTGATCCCTCCACGGAATCGGGGAAATTTTGGATACTTGGCAAGACGATGCATATTTTAAAGAGGTGGTCGAATTTTGCCATGACTCACAATTTTTGGCTGCTAAATAGGGGCTTCAACATGACTCCAGGGCCCAACATAGCTGAAAAATCGTATTTTTCACGGTTCTACCTCAAATTCCGACCAGGGCCCAAAGCTGACAAAACATGAGCATCAAACGTGATGTAAGACACCTATACACGTAACACAATGGAATATGATCAACTGTCGCCTCTGGGCCTAAGTTTAAAATCGAACTTTTCTTTCTTTTAAGCCCAAAGGAGCTGAAAATCCATGTTTTTCTGCACTTCTACCTCAAATTTCAACCTGGGCTTGAGGGTGACGGGTTGCATGAGCTTTGAAATGATGTAAGGGACACTTAGAAATGAAAGATATGGGAAAATGATCAACCGTAGCCTTTAGGCCCATATTAAATACCGCCGAATATTGCATTTTTTTAAAATGTTCCATTTCGGTTTTTTTACCAAGTCCAAAGATGATTCGGCCAAAAGGTAGTAGTTGATCATAATTCAGTGTCTTACGTTTCTACTTGTCCCTTATATCATATTCGAAGCTCATGACCTGTCACTTTTGTGCCCAGGTCGAGATCTGAGGTAAGAGCGCGGAAAACGTAGATTTTTATCTTGTTTGGACTACTAAGTTAGAAAAATTCGATTTTGAACTTTGGCCCAAAGGCGACAGTTGATCATATTCCATTAAGTTACGTGTCTAGGTGTTCTTCACATCAAATTCGATGCTTATGACCGGACATTTGGGCGCCCGGGTCGAAATCTGAGGTAGAACTGCGAAAAACGCAATTTCTCAGCTATTTCGGGCTCAAGAGCCATATTTAAGCCCCTAATTCAGAGCCAAAAATGGGAGTATAGACAAAATTTAACTATTTCTTTTCAATATGCACCGTCAACTGCACAGTATCCAAAATTTTCCTGATTCCGCAGAGGGGCCGATTCCGGCCCAAATCGCAACTCCTTCTTTGGCATCTCCGTTTATATTGATGGATTGGGATGAACCCGGAATCCGAGGGTTTTCTGGGTGAGAAAAATGATTCTGACATTATATTCGGGGAAATTCAGTCCTCCGCAAAATGGCGGCCGTCAAAATGGCGACTTAAAGCGGGAAGTAGAAAATTGGGAGCTTATCGGTGAATTTGCATGAAACTTGATATCCAGTGATATTTCGGCTCGAAAAAGACAAAACTTTCATTGGATTCTTCGACAAAACAAAGTTTGGAGGGTGGGAGAAAGTTCTCAATTTCTACTTTCTGTTGCAGGAGTAGATTTAAGGACTTTCTCTCAATGCCAAACCCTCATGTTTCCTCAACTCGACCCTTCGTCCGGCTACTTTAGTTGAGTCAGCTCAATGTGGGTATGACGAGTCCTTATTGTCACTTTAAGAGAATGGGTTAATGTATAGAGTAGAGAAGAATCATAATAACAAATTCTGAACAAAATAAAAACCCAGCACCCGGAATTGGAACGCGATTCGAGTCATTTGACAACTTTTAAATGATAAAGTTGGCAATACCACAGTTTGAAGTTGTTTAAATAAGTCTTGTATAATCGGAAGCTCTTAGATCACACATTTCTTGTAAAATTTTGCAGTGAGTTCCACCTTGAAACCTTCATTTTATCATCAAATTCGATATTTTGGTTTTTTTTTTTTTTTTTTTTTTTTTTTTTTTTTACTATTTATTTATTTGCACAAAAAATAAATAACATTTGTACAGAAAATGCATTTAGACATATAAAATGTCTTTAAAATGCTTAATTTCAGTTTGGCTTAAATTATACTGGCTTTTAACTAAGATTTAACATAGTGTATACTACCTAAAAATTAACTGGAGTAAAAATAAAACATATTTATTATAAAATAAATATGTTTTTTCATTTTAAATGAATTACGACGGGCTGACCCTTTCAAAGATCAAGTGTCTCCTGACAAGTCCATAGAGCAACAGGACGCGCTCAAATATTTTATTTATTCTGGAAAAAATTTAAAAAAACCCTGGATTCCAAGCTCGTGGGTTTTCCTGCGTTTTAATCTCCTTATGCCATCATCCTTGTCCAACAGCAAAAGCGCTTCTGGATTCGGATGATTGTGCAGTCGGTTTTCGTATGAGGTATACATTTTCGTAATATAGTCCTCTACAGAGTCAATGTAGAGATCCGCTCTTATATCCGCATTTCTCTCAAACCATTGTGCTTTAGCAATATTTCTGAGGATTTTCATTAGCATTATTTCTATCTGGTCGAGATTGGTTTTGGCTGCGCAACCCCACAATTGACAGCCATAACTCCATATGGGTCTCAACATTGACTTGTAGAGTAAGAGTTTTAGCTTGAGGTCTAACTTAGATTTTCTGCCTAGTAGCCAATACATGTTTAAAAATTTTAATTTAATTTGAGCTACTTTTTTTTTGATATGGTCTTTCCACCTGAGCTTGGAATCCAGAAGAAGGCCTAAATATCTTGAAACTTTTTCTCTGGGAATTTGATTATTTCCCAGATGAAGAGGACGATGATGAATTTTTCTGTTTGTGAAGACTACTTCAACCGATTTTGTAGAATTAAGTTTGATTTTATCATTGGTTGTCCAGTTATTTATTTTATCTAGATGGATTTGAACATTTTGACAAGCCTCCCTATAACTCTTGGATGAGTCCATCACAAGCGTATCGTCGGCGTAGATTCCCATTTTCCCCTCTCCTCTGGGCTGTGGGATGTCCGCTGTGAAAAGAGAGTAGAGGAGGGGGATATTTTGGAGTACGCAGCTTGGCAACTCTGCCACAGGGGCAAAAAAAAAAAAAAAAAACTTTCAGGCGCATAAAAATTTCAGGAAAGTTGCATCTTACACTAGGTAACAACATAATAAAAATTCAGATCGGTTGGGGCAAGGATAAGGGAGGGGGGTTTCATTTGTTGCACCTAGGCCCAGTTTGCTATTTTACCCCTACAAAACCAAAAAAATGTGATAATTTTTCGAAAACGTCCCACAATCTACTTAAAAATTGGCCAAACACCCATCAAGGAGTACTCTAATATAAATATGAATTTTTGGTTGAATGAAAACGCCACCTGGAAACCTTCATTTCATCACAGAAATCGATATTTTGGAGTCTGCAACTTAGCATAGTTGCTATGGGGGCTACAAACTTGCACAGGCATAAAAATTTCACGAAACTGGCATCTTATACCAGGTAACATCATACTAAAAATTCAGATCGGTTAAGGGAAGAATGAGGTAGGGGGAGATTCATTTGTCACCCCTAAGCCGATTTGGCTACTTTACCCCTTAAAAATCTCAAAAATGCGATTATTTTTCCAGGAGCTCCAATGACCTACTTCAAAATGGCCCAAAAACCCATCAATTAGTACCTCACTACAACCTCAAACTTGAATTTTTTATGTACATTCAAAGTTTATGAAAATTTACTTCAGGGACACCGTGGGGGTTGCTGTTTGAAAAAAAATTTGGCTCCCCACCCCCCTTGGAGGGGGCTGCCCCCAGCAATTTTTGGGGACAAAAAAGTTGCTACTTTAGACTGAGGGACATTCCCAAAGTTTCAAATTTCTACATCAATTGAAAAAAAGTTACAGGGGTTGTAGGTGACTTTTAGATAAACCTGTGGCAAAAAATTTACATTACAAGATGTTTAAAGTGGATAACAAATGTTTCTTCAACTTTTTAGACACCCTCTGTCCCTAAATTCCCCTCCTAGCCGTACCAAGCTACGGGCGTTCAATCAATAAGTATCCCCCCTCTTTAAAATCAATAACAATGGACCAATTTTAAAAAAAAAAAATTGAGCTCTAAATCATTCTTAGGATATACTGAGTTCAACAAAACAAACCGCAACAAAATCGGACTAAGTGCGGCCGAACGCGAGCCGTTTAAACGCGGCGAGCACCTCGGCGCGTTCAAACGGCTCGCGTTCGGCCGCACAAAGTCCGATTCTGTTGCGGTTTGTTTTGTTGAACTCAGCATATCCTAAGAAAGATTTTGAGCTCAATTTTTTTTTAAATTGGTCCATTCTTACTGATTTTAGAGAGGGGGGATACTTACTTATTGAACGCCTCTCGTATCTGATGGTTTGCAACTTGAGGACACAAGATGTCTGAACTTTCTGTTTGAAGTAACCACAATGAGAAACAATATTTTAGTGCTGAGACTAAATGATATAGAAAACTCAAAAGAGTTTTGACGCCTAGAGCAACCCAGAGTTAAAACAGTAGAGTGAGACATTGCTTCCGTCCACAGGACATTCTTATTAAATGCCAGTGCTACAGCTAGGATACTTTCAGTTGCATAAAAGGAATTACCGTAAGATTCTCGAACACCGATAACTAATTGTGAGTCAAATGCTTCACCATTTCTCTCGGCATGGACTAATTTCATGGCTGAATCTTGCAATCTTTGCTTGATGTCATAGAAAATACTCTGATTCCAAGTGTCCAACATTAACTGCAAAAAGTAATTGAATAAAAGTTTGAGAGGTGGCACACCGTATTTACAGACAATATTCGACAATATTTTTTGAAAATGGAGCAGAAAACATTCATAAACGGTCAAAAAAGTTGAAAGGAATGAATTGAATGATTAAGGAGGAGAAAAGTTTAAGGTAAATTTTACTTCCTTTATTTTACTTGAAACATCGTGAAGATTTATATGAAGGATGTAAAATATATCCATTGGCTGACGCCTCTACCGACACTTTAATAATACAGACATAATTTTCTTATAAATTTAAGTAATCTTTACATGAAAATATAATTTTAACATTAATGTGAGTCTAATTATGTGTCTTTAGGGGCGTCAACCAATCAATAAATTTTCTACCATCTTTTAGTCAATCTTTTAGTCGTCTGTCAATTAGGACCACTTTTTAAATAAAAAAAATATATAAAATTTACCTTTTTTTACGATAAAAAGAAAGAAAAATCCTACAAGGATTTGGCAGGTATGTTGAGACGTACATAGGGTGTCCCAAAAGTCTTATCACCAACTCTTGAATGAGCAAACGAATAAAGCCAGCCAAATGCGAGTTGTATGAACATTAAAGATCAATTTATTAGCTCTCAAACGCAACTTTGTTGAGCTCGATCAGTCAAAGTTTCATTAAGTTTTAGCAATTTTTTGGCAAAAGGTGAAAAAAATAAAGCTAGTCGGCTCACGAAATTCTACTAAAGCAAAATTTTATCAGCTAGTGTTACTGTGAAGTAATATGTAAAGACTCTCAAAAGACATCATTGAGAAACGACAAGAATTTAAACAATTTTGAATGATGCATCAAGAAAATGAGCGTCCGCCTACCTTGAGCTCCACAAGAGGGTCTATGATAAAAATTTTGAAGGAAACGGAGTGCCCTCCCCCTTCTCCCTCCACAACTTACACTTATGCCCATGTAATGATTGGATTTCTGGAGCTAACAAGAAGTTTGAGAGGACAACATTTTTACTCAGTGGAAGAAACAATGAGGGCGACAAAAAAGTTTCCCAAAAGTTTTTTGAGTCTCTCCGAATAGAAAGGAAGATTTAGAAAAGACAACAAGCAAAAACAACGCCTTAAAATATGCATAAAAAATGATACTACGATTTTTGAGAAAAAATAGGGAGAGTACAGGCATCACATGAAAAAGGATGACTTTGTTTATATTAAGTGCGGACTGTGTAAATTTAATTAACTACAAAAAACCCACCAAACTTTCAGATTTAAAGGGATAAAGACAAAAGACTCTGGCTAGAGTCTATTAACTTGTTGGACAGCAGACTAAAACTGATTTTAAATTGTGCCGATGTCTCCTCCCCAAAAGATGATAAAATAGATATTATAAAAAAAAATAAACAAAGAGGAATAAGAGAGAAAAATACCAAAAAAAATTGATGGACCGATTCGAGCATCTGAACATGTTATAGAACAATATGAAATACTGAATCACACCAAGTCCAATATTTTCCTGGAGAAGTTTAAAAAATCATCCTCTGCAATTTCACAGGAGGCACTTTTAAAACATCTTTCAATGACAGTCATAATCATTTCTTTGAACTATAGATGTGATAGTTAATCAAATTGGTATTATTGGCATTTTAGGACGATTTTTATTGATGATTAGGTAACAAAGGAAAATAAACGTAAGTATTGAGTTTCAGAGAAGAAATTGGATTGCATTTAGCAAAAAAGAACCAAGAGCATTCAAGTGTCGCTAAAAGTTCGCAACTTATTTTACCTTGCAAATATAAATTGATCATCTGAACAAATTTTACCTTCCCTCCAAATCTTCTTATATATTTATAAAACCGGACGGGGTATGTATGTCGGACATCTCCTCCTCCGCTAATTTGTCTATTACTTCGAAATTTTACCGGAATATACTACGAAGGTCAGGGATCAGCACTGCGGGGGTCATAAGTCTTCAACTCAAAAATTCCTTTAGTATCCCACCTATAATAGTTACCGGATGTATGTCATCAATTCTTTCGTTCACGATAACTACCGTTAGATTTACGTTAGCTGATTCAAATTTTGTAATTTTGTCCATTTTGGTCTGATGAAGAACTGTATAGATTTTCCGTTAAATCGCATTTACCTATTACTTATAAACGGTAATTAACGTGAGTGCCCTACATACGCTGTTTTCCACTAATCTGTTTTTATGAAAGTTCCATTCCTTGGTTTCCTTGGTAACCTTTGTTTGCTATCAGCTGATGTTTTATTTCAATTTCTTTTTTTCATATTTTCATTTTTTTTTTTTTTTGTTTTTGTTTATAAATCATTGCTAGGTTAGTTTTAATTTTTCTGCCAGAATTTATTATACCCCCCCCCCCCAAGCTCATTTTTCTAGCTCCATCACCCTCTCCCCTCAACTAATTTTTCTATCGATTTTATCATTTTTTTTATGGCATGTCTTGCTCCCCTACCACCATTTTTTCGGTGTTATAGATATTTTAGCGGCCTCTAGACCCGTGACTCCAGTCACGGGCATTTCGCTAGTTCCTTTAATAAACGTCCCTCCCGTAAGAGAAATCGGGCACTTATGCGGTTTTAGCATTTGTCATTATTATTATTCTCAGCTGACCGAGCTATGGTCGTCTTTGTTACGCGTCTCCATCCGACAACACTCGTCGGTTGCGTTGCCCGATCAACTTAGACTGTATGACATCACTTTACTCGGCTTCGTTGCCGGGTCAACTTACTTTTTATTTTTTTTTTTTTCTCTCTTTTGTTAGTAAATTTTGTGGCAAAATTAAGTGTCATGGGAGGTTGTCAACGGGATTTTATGTGACTAAGGGTTTAAAACGGGGATGTTGTTTGTCGCCAACATTATTTAAAATTTATCTCCAGTGCCTGCTAGAAGAATGGAAAAGGAAATGTTCTGGTATGGGTGTCCCCTTGGATGAGTTTGAAACTCTGTTCACTCTGTGCTTTGCTGATGACCAGGTGGTGGTTGCTCAAGATCAGGACAACGCGGAGTACATGATGCGCAAGTTAGTAGAAGAGTATCGGAAGTTGGGTTTGGAGGTCAGTATATCCAAAACTGAGAGGATGACTTTGGGAGGTGATCAGCAAAGCATTGAGTTGGAGGATGGGCAGAAGATCAAAGGCTGTACGGATTATAAATACTTGGGAGTGCGGTTGACCCAGGATGGAAGGACGGATCAAGCAATCAAGGAAAGAAACACCTTAGCGAGGAGGGCTATAGCGATGCTAAATGGAATCCTCTTGGATCCGCGGATTTCCAAAGAGAACGAGAGGAAAATTTATATCGCTGTAGTCAAAAATATATTAACGTACAGATGTGAAGTTTGGCAGCTGAAGAAACAGACACAGGATATGCTAAGAGCAACAGAGATGGATTTCTGGAGGTCAGCAGGAATTTCTAGGAGAAATCGGATCCATAATGATAGAGTGCATCAGATAATGGAAGTCGAAAATGACATCGTGTTCAACGTCATGACCAAACAGCTTGTCTGGTACGGTCATGTCAGTAGGATGACGGAAGAGAGGCTGCCAAAAAAGATGCTTCATTGGGTTCCTCCTGAGAGGGGACGAAGGGGACACCCGGAGAAAGGTTGGCGACAGGGGATTATGGATGAGATGCGGGAGTGCCAACTCCCTGATGACCTGCGGGAGGACCGAGTTTTGTGGCGGTTAGGCGTCGCAGAGCGCCGGAGCGGCCGACGCTTCCGCGCGCAAGTTGAGGAGAGCACGAGGTCAATCAAGGCGGATATCTATCAACGCGAGAAAAATGTGAATGTAAACATGCAGATTCTTATCAGGTAGTTATAATCATCGTCCCGTCGCAGGTGTTTTGCCGGATTGGCGTCGCCTAGGTTGAATATTGCGTAGTTTCCTTTGAGCAGGGGTTGGATGGAATGACTCCTCCAACAAAATGTTCACTTGTGCTGAGCTAGATGGTATGAAAGGAACGTTGATATCAGGACGGATCTTGGGATAGGGAGCCTGGAGGTTTTTGTCTCTCCTATGTACGAGAGATATGAAGAGCGTCTGGTGTCTCACCCCAATCCTGAGGCAATTAAGCTTCTGGATTGGGCCAGGGAGAGCAGACATCTTAGACGCAGGAAGCCTCATGAGCTTCTCACACCGGACTTCAAAAAAGTCTGATTTAGCACGCTGTTTCCGCTAGGGACTTGGTCCTATCCTCAGGGCACTGCTCCTCTCTGTCTCCGTCGACAAGGGAGTACCCCTAACTTGAAAGACAATCTGTCTAGTAATTAAACAGATACTTTAATTTCAGTTATTCACAGTTAGGCTTTTTGCACTTTTTGCCATCCCCTATTTTTCACCTTGTTTAGCGTAATTTATATCTATAAATATCCTCTGTGATTTCTATACCTCCTCCACTACTTCTGTATCTAACTCAATATTTTTACCATCTCTATGACTCCATATCTTATCAATTTTAGTTAACTTTTAATTCATAATTCTCCAATCTACAGTTTTCCAAAAGTGCTTGTAAAAATTCTTTTATTAAAACAAAATGTAAAAAGATCTGCTTTAGGGTCTAATCATCACATTGGAAATACTTTAATATGTATTTTACTGAATAATAAAAAAAAAAAAAAAAAAAAAAAAAAAAAAAACTTGTGCCAAGGTATTGTTTTGGAAGCGGGAAGCTCGAAAAAACGCAAATTTCTTACGCAAATTGTGAAGAAAGAAGTGCATTTCAGACTTTGCCGCTGTGCTCATCTTTATTTTTGAGACTCTTTCCATTAGTTTCAAGTCTTATTTTTGCTCTAGCAAAAGTTTGCAACAGGCTCATTAGCGATTTTAGGGTGCTTTCAGAGAAAAATAGATGGATTTAAAACTCCGAGTAGTAACCTTACTGAGCAATGGGCGTGTTGCAAACTTTTGATGCAGCAGAAATAAGAATTGTTTCTATCAATAAATGTCTCAAAATAACGATGAGTGCATTGGAAAAGTTTGAAATGCACTCCCAACTTCACAATCTGCAGAGGAAATTTGCATTTTTTGAGCTCCCTGCTTCAGAAACGATACAACGGCACAGATGTACATTTCGTTGGAAAGTCGATCTATTCAACCCTTTTGCAATAGCAATACCCAACATAGCCAACGCTTTAGCGTGCAAATCGCAATCGGGAGCATAAGGTCAGACAAAGCGGCTCTTTATCAATGCAAAGAAATCATGAATGTAAACATGCTGGGTTGTTAACAAATTATTAGAATCACGTCCAGACACATGTGTTTTAGCGGATTGATGTCGGCCATGTTGAATATTCTGTAGTATCCTAGCGCACAGGGGTTGCATAGAAGGACACCTCTAACGAAATGTTCACGAATGCTGTGGTATCTTTTTGGAAGCGGGGAGCTCAAAAAAAACGCAAATTTTTTGAGCAGATAGTGGTGTTAGGAGTGCATTTTATACAGGGTGTTTCAGACCACCCGTACCAGGCCTTTTTCTCGGTTGGTTTAGGTCGTACGAAGTCGGAGGCCGCGGGGTTGAATAGGGAATTGACCCCAAGGAATCCGAATTTTGTGGTCCTGAAACCCCCCCATCCCCCCTTGGGAGGTAAAGGGGGGGTCGCGATGCTAAAAGTCACGGTTCCCGACCGAATTGCGGATGGATCGCATCGGAATTGAAAAGCACGGAAAATTTCACGTGGAATTGACCCCTAAAAATCCAAAATCAGACCATCCAAGGCCCAAAAATGACCCCCTAAAGAGGGGGATAGTACCCCCCTCCATAATTTCTCTTTGGTCTCAAAATTGACGTAAATTCTCCAGAAAAAGACGGATTCCCAGGTAATCGACCTCGAGAAATCCAAATTTCATGGTCCCGAAGCTCCTCTAGCACCCCTTGAGGGGTAAACGGGGGGGGCCCAATTTTAAAAATCGAGGCTCCTTTCCGAATCGCAAATTGATTGCATCCAAATTGAGGAGCAGAACACATTTACATCTTAAGTGACTCATAAGAGTTCTAGTAGACCCCCTGAATGGCAGAAAGTAACTCCCTGAGTAGGGAGGCTTCGCCCCCGCCAAAAATTTCTCAAAATTCCTCTTTGGTCGCAAAATTGACGTCGATTCTCCAGAAAAAGACGGTTTCCTATGTAATCGACCCCGAGGACTCTAAATTTCATGTTCCCTGAGCTCTTCGGGGTCGATTACATGGGAAACCGTCTTTTTCTGGAGAATCGACGTCAATTTTGCGACCAAAGAGGAATTTTGAGAAATTTTTGGCGGGGGCGAAGCCTCCCTACTCAGGGAGTTACTTTCTGCCATTCAGGGGGTCTACTAGAACTCTTATGAGTCACTTAAGATGTAAATGTGTTCTGCTCCTCAATTTGGATGCAATCAATTTGCAATTCGGAAGGGAGCCCCGATTTTTAAAATTGGGCCCCCCCGTTTACCCCTCAAGGGGTGCTAGAGGAGCTTCGGGACCATGAAATTTGGATTTCTCGAGGTCGATTACCTGGGAATCCGTCTTTTTCTGGAGAATTTACGTCAATTTTGAGACCAAAGAGAAATTATGGAGGGGGGTACTATCCCCCTCTTTAGGGGGTCATTTTTGGGCCTTGAATGGTCTGATTTTGGATTTTTAGGGGTCAATTCCACGTGAAATTTTCCGTGCTTTTCAATTCCGATGCGATCCATCCGCAATTCGGTCGGGAACCGTGACTTTCGCATCGCGACCCCCCCTTTACCCCCCAAGGGGGGATGGGGGGGTTTCAGGACCACAAAATTCGGATTCCTTGGGGTCAATTCCCTATTCAACCCCGTGGTCTCCGACTTCGTACGACCTAAACCAACCGAGAAAAAGGCCTGGTACGGGTGGTCTGAAACACCCTGTACTTTGCCAATGAGCTCATAGTGATTTTCAAGACTTACTGGTAGAAACAAGACTTACTTTTGCTCTAGCAATAGTTTACACCAGGCCCATTCAATGTCGAAACTGAGCCAAGGTCTTCAAATAATGATACTTAAAAGTAACGTTAACATCTTGGAGACATTTTGTTAGCCTTGCATATTTTAAGACCCAAAAAGGCCCTCACGGGAATCAGTCCTTTGTGTTCTCAAAATGACTGTTAAAAATAAAATGCAAAAAAAAAAAAAGTAGGAAAGGAGAGATTAGAACCTTTCTGACGATGCTTTCATCTGACTGTGTCTGCTTGCCAGCACCCAAAGTTGTGGTTGTTTTACCTTGAGCAGCATTTTCAAAATGTCGGAATGGTGTAGGTAAATAGATACACTGCGTAAAGAATTTCCGCCACTCAGCAATGTATGCCTTCAGCAGTGCTTGATCTTCTTGGTGTGCCAAAACTCTCTAGAGACAATTCAAATATAATTAATTATTTCATAATTTCTGTATAAATTCCTAAGTTAATTTTTTTTTTTTTTTTTTTCTTTTTTTTGACATACCTTGTGTTCTAGAGCACCAGTTAACTATCTTTTTCTGGGAAACGGCCGACAATTGAACTTCGGGACGAAATTTAGAGGGGAAACTCAACCCCACAGTATTCGATGACAAAAGTTTCAGCCCTCCAAAACCTCATGGGGGGGGGGGGTGTTTAAGAGGGGTACCCCAAGTTTCTCGCTTGTTTCAAATGGCAAGGGTATGTTTGGACTTCAGATTGGGATTCTACACGAAAAGTTACGTAAAATTTAAATGGCGTAGGTATGGCCTAGTTGTCCCTTTCCCTCCAAAAATATACGGCTCCTCATGGGAAAATGGGGTTTTAAAATAATTAGGGGCAAATAGGCCATACGCCATATCAATTCTACGTAACGCTGCGCGTCCCAGGGGGCTTGGGCGTGGGCGAAGTCCCCCCAAAAACTGGGGTAGAACGAAGCTGAGCGCCGGTTTTTGTAACTCCTATTGATGAAATTCAGCATGGTCATGCATCACAACAAAGAGTTCATGACCAAGAAAATGTATCCTCCGCCAAATGAAGGGCGTACGGCTTTGCCCTGTGCAATTTATAAAACCCTCACCTCCCCTCCTCAGGATACTGAATTTTGCCCGCATGATTTATAGAATAGGTACCATCTAACAAATAATTTAAAAATGGAGCAAAACATACCTGCTGAGCAATTTTTATTATTTGCATTATGTCTTCTTTGAGAGCTTCCCGCACCTTGTACACTCCTTTTTCATCCCACAAACACACAAGATACATGGAGTAAAATAAGTCTTGCCACTCATTGTGGGTAACTGTTTCTTGCTGTAATAATTTTAAGATTATCGGTCTCATATGTGGCCATTGATCTTCAAAAAGCAACTGGCCTTTATCCTAGATTAAACAAACAAAACATATGCTTTAAGCACCATAAAAACTCCTGCAAATCAGCCTGTGGCATAAACAAAGATATTTCATAGATGGATAGAACCAAGGCTCCTGATGCCTTTGACTTTTTCTTGGACACAAAAGACCATGGAAAACGCCAGAGACATCAACTCGAAAATGCTCAAAAATTGGGAAACACTCGTTTTGAGGCGGGAATGGAACAGCTTCCAGGACATCGTTGAGTCATATGGCTTGTTTGACCTGGTCTCTTCACTACTGCCCGTCAATTCCATGAGGATTTCGAAGTAGATTTTCTTTCGAAATTATCGAGGCATCCGATAGGCCACTGACGAACCAGGGTAGCAGAAATAAAATCTTGGTACCTTCAAATGAAGTATTCTACTAATAATCAGTTGCACAATGACAAAACGAACCCATCCTTCAGGAAAATGCAGTCAATGGACGATTGTATATCAGCCACATCCATGCATATTTGAAACAGAAATGAGGTTAGGTTATTTTTTAATTTTTAAATAGCAAGTTTCATGATAATTGGGGTTTCATTATTTTTTTTTTTTTTTTTTTTTTTTTTTTGCTTCAGTTGGAAAGTAATTTATTTTCGTGGATCAATTTATTAGTACTTTAGATTCATGTGAGAGCCCATGAAGGAAATCATTGTTACATTTTAACTAAGAACATCGCTGAATATGTTGGACTATTGAATGCTCAATCTATCATGGCTGGCAGTAGCCACCTCCGGCCGAAGTCTTAACCCAACAACAATGGAAGTGGTCTGAAGACCAAATGGACCAAACCTTCATGTAAACACACGTAACTCCCTTATTCTGAAAATTGAGGTGGATTCCACTGGGAATCAGAGAAAACGACGTCACCAATTCCGATCATCCAGGTGTCTACGGACGCAGCTAAGTTGGGGCTACAGACTGATGAAGAGTTTTACAAGATCTATTGTGTTTTCAAAATGAAAAAATTATAAGCACTTAAAGGCCAAGGACGATGAAAATTTTTCTGAACACGGAGCCGTTTAGCGGGAAAATCTGAATTCATAGTCCTGAGAAAGTAACTATAATTCTACAGGTATCGGTAAAACCCAGACGAGTAAAAGTTGACCCTACAGAATCGCCATGTTATCGTGTACATTGGTATTTCCTTTTTTATAAAATCCTCAGTGTTTCAGAGGAGAAATTACTCAAAATACTACTAAACCGACTTTCGGCCTTTCAAGTCTCGTATTATTAAATATTAAATATAATCATAATTCATCATAATTTTTGGCATGAAAAAGTTCAGGGACATCATAACTACTAATTTATCAACTCGGTTTTTATTTGTTTTGCCCTAGGTCATTTATAGCCCACAGTGACATGACTGATCCTCTTATCATGAAATAACCCATAAGCAGCAATTCTTGAAAACTCCAGTGAATTTCTTACCTACTTGAGGGGTATTCTGGAAAAGTTTCAAGCAATGATGTTGGTTTAGCCCCATTCTAGAGAATGAGATAACAGCGGAGATTTGGAATCACCGGAGCCGAGTTAAGAATTTTCGCAGTTTCACCATCGATATGCAAATGGACCCATGAATTAAAAGTGTATAAGCTGAATTACTGGGTTATTTTTTCGTTTCTCTGTTGAGCTATAGAATCCATCAAATGTCATGTCCACCATGCAATGTGGGGAAATTAGTGTAAAGCACCAACCAGACACGATATTTTCTTGTGAGTCAAATCTGAGACGAAATGCTTGACAGCCGATACCTACTAGTGACTTGGTTTATTCTGGTCAACCAAAGTCTCTCAAGTGTTTAAAAATCCCTAGGCCCATAGAAATGCTGAAACATCCCTATACCTAGGGGTGCATTTTTAGACTTGGGATCATTGATGCAGCGTCAACGATCTACAAACTATAGGTAGGGTGATCCTATGGTACGCCAAGAGCAAAATTTATAACACACCAGGGGCAACGATTAGGTTAGGGCTGAGATAGTCGGTTTCTATGGCTTCTTATGGAACTGTTGCTGTATACGGACTTATATACAATTTAGAACTAACTGTTTGAAAATCTGTGTCCAGATACGGAACTCAGCCATTCATTACGTGAGTTTACGATGAAAATTTCAACGCTAATTCACTTTTTGTAAAAACTCCCGTAAGATTCCATGTATTTATGGTTAGGACAAAGATAAGGTTAGGGCGTGGAAATTGGCCATTTCCACTCCCCGCTAGCCTGTCAAACAACCGCTCCATGTGTGTCACGGTTTTTTGCAGGCCACCACAAATCTACAGTAACTAGATTGTTGAGCGGGGTCCATCATTGTATTAGACTGTTTATTATAAAGACTACAGTCAAAACTACTGGTTAAATAGTGACTTTGGATGACACCCGCAGTTTTACCTTTCAATAATACAATTTGGGGACACTCCCTTTGAAAGGGGGTGATTTTATGGCAAACCAAATACACTTATTGTTGCAAGGATCGGAACGTAGCCTACCTTTGTGGCACCTAAAACAATAGCTATTTACAAACTTAGGACAATCAAGATTCAAGAACTTTCCCCATCCCTGAATTAGGGTTCCGGTTTATCGCATTCCGCAGGCAACACTTTGTATCGCATTTCTTCTCTCAGGAAAAGCGAAATTGGCATGGCCGCAAACTGACAAGAGTGCCAGACTCTCTTTGGCACTATTATAACTGCGATGAAAGATTAAAATTACTAAAAAGTGTGAGGTAAATAATTTCTCATTGAGTAAAATTGGAAACGTGGGTTAAAGATTTACCTTCAACATTAAAGATTGACCAGGCATAACTACAAGACGAAAACACAAATACAACTTTCGCTACAATTCTTGCTTCTACTTCAGCTGAGCTAAAATTACTGTCAGAATGTCAGATCCGCAGCCGAGCATTGACTTATAACACAATCTAGACCGCGCACTAGGCCGGACTTATGGCGGGGCGGGGGAGGTAAGACAGCTAGCGGGGTAAATCAAGGTAAAGACGCGCCTTCAGCTTAAATGATACAGCCGAATATACGAACGAAGCGTGGCAACGGCTAAAACGCCTTTTTTTTCTCTATGGCTAAATAAAACGGCACCGGCAAGACTGGCACAGCATTTCCATTGTCTCAGAATATATTGCCGGTACACTTGCTGGGTTGCCTATCGTCTCGCCTGAAGGGACTCTAGCTAGACTGAGCTAGACTAGAGCCGCAATTTCTAGCAATTTCCATCAGTGTTCCCATAGTGTTCCCTAGAGTACCTATGCTGAGAGAGTATGGCCACTGGGGTTACCACCTCTGATTGGCTCAGCCATCTTAGGCGGAGCCCTTAGGACCCAAAAATGGCGGACGCCATAAATTAATGTAATGCAAAATGACTCAAAATGTAGTTTTCTTTGCTTATCGTAACGAGAAATTTACTCAAATGCACTATTGCGACATCTTTACATAATTTTAAGGCTAATCGTGTGCAATTTTTGAGAAAAATTATCCTAGATGTAGTAAGGTTGGCAGCCTGTGCGGTTGGTGATAACCGTCAAAAGTTGGCAATGACCCCCCTCCCATCCACAAAAACTAAAACAAAGCACCGCCATTTTTGGGTCCTGAGCCTCTCCATGGGGCCCAGTGGCCATACTCCTTGGGTACAACTCTACTCTAAACGCCTGAAGGTAGGTCCAAAGGCACGGGTATCAAAAGTAAAAGTAAAAGTAAAAGTAGAGTACCTATATATTCATCCATGGCCATGCTGATCGCTGAATGTCGCTGATCATCCATATAGCTGATAATGGTGGTGTTATTATGGTTTTTCCGCTTTCCCATGATTGGGTTCTCAATCGTGAATCGTTGATCATTGACAGAACTTCGACTTCCAAGTGTCTAGTCAGGTAACTTCCTAGTCCTGAAGCATTCATACCTGAAGAATATATGAATATCGTGACCGGTCACCCGTTACCCGTTACCATATCTGCCGAGAGTATCACAAGCGCCCCTGGTTCCATTTAATACTGACCGATTTCACGATAACAGGATAGTAGTGTCGTCAGTTAAGTTATTACCGGTCTCGAAGATACACAACTATCCAATCGAAGAGGAAAACAACTGTTGTTTAAAATCTGTCATTTGTGACTCTGCATTGATTCGTGCAAAGAAATATGCGAAATTATCCTTTCAAAGACTTTTAGACTGTGAAATCTTCTGTCGGTTTTACTGCCTACAAGACATTTTTTCCCTGTCATCGCTTGACTAATATCTCATTTTTCCATTTTACAGTCTGTAAGTCCCAGTGATACAATTTTCTCAATATTTTTCCATGAATCTTAAGCGTTCAGCCCACCTTCAAACAAGGGGCTTCCAAGAGGCTTATCGATGAAACTGTTGATTGTCGCCTCTCAAATAATGTTGGCCTGACGATCCTTAAAACTGATGTGTTCGGAATACATCACAGATCAGATTTTGAAATTTTCAAGGAATTCCCTGCTGTAATGGCTGAGAAATTGAAGAATTGGTGCCAGTTTGAGAACCCCAGTTTGAAAGTGGGCTGGATGCTTCACGCAAGTGTGCCTGTAAGATGATTGCAAATGGCCATTATATTCTTTTTTGATTGATTTGTCTCATTGCCTTGAATATACTTGAAAATGTAACCGGAAACGCTACTATTCCTGTTGTTGTGAAATCACCCTACCTACTGACTTCTGACAATGACTTCCAAAGGCTTGGCACTGTTCTGATTTAAAAACAACAACCATGGTGTCAAACGGACCCTGCACACTCCTTACGGTAACATGTGCTCCGTTCAATTTCCAAATTTTGCATTGCATTACTTAAACTTGTGTATGGATGCCCACAATCTAGAAACAATAGACAGGGTGATCCTATGCTTGATTCAGCTCTAGAGATTTAGCTGGAGGAATGTAAACAGAGCCGACTGCCATTGTAAGTATTTGGTAGGACAGAGGAGCAAGGACGATTTAAAAACTAAAGTCGCTTTCTGGGAGGGAATGCCGGTTGCAATGATTTAAGTTGTATTACATGCTCAACTGAACTGAGTAATGAGTAGCAGCTGTTAAATGAATGTTGGGTGTAGAGATGATACAGCATTTGAAAAAAAAATGAAGATAGATACAAGATACAGGGTGCAACATCAGTACTCCAATTAATGGGAGTGATACAAGCTAAGAAAACCATGCAATTGGAGATCATATTTTAAAGATTTTGAGCTGGCCGAGAGCGTGCCAGAATACAGGTAAAGAAGATTTGGAAGTATGGACAGGATTTTTCACATATAATCTTGAGAATAACTTTTCCTCAACTTTATTTTATTTAATGACATTGAGGTCACCAATTTGTTGAGTCAAGTCAACAATACAATAATTTACATTGATACCCAATAATGATGAAATATTCTGTATGAACAAATAATTATATAATTCAGTAGAGGTTGCAGAAAGCTGGAGCGCAATGAAAATAACTAATGAACTGCACCTTTTTCTTAAACCGAAGTTGTCATAGAAATGCAATTACTTGATTTTGGGGAGGGGGGGAGGGAGGTTTAGACATGAGCCATCGAAGGAGGGAAATGACGAAAATCTTACTTGGCATGCAAATTTTTAATGTACAGCTGAGTTATAAGAAGACACTCAAACTAATTTTTTTTTTCCTTTTTTTTTCAAGTTTTAAGTGTTCTGTAAAATATACCTAATTTTATTCCGTTTAAAAATTTCCGAAAAGGTTCCTTAATTTTGCTTTATTCACTTACAGCGATTCCGAGGCACCCTGGTAAATTTCCCACCATCAGTTCCTCTATACCAAAATGTTTAGAACGCCGCAATCTGCCATCTGGTATGTTATTATTTAAGATTTTATTCCTGAGAAAATATAAATTTTTTTTTTCTTGGAATAGGTGAATCAAGAAGACAGATTCTCCTTTCAAGACGCTTGAGGATAGTTGGACGGAGTTAAACAGAAAGGAACCAAGCCACATCGGGATCGAACCGAGAAAAAGAGGCTTAAAATTTAGCTCCTGCATAAGACTCAATGTAAAAGTTAAACTTCAAGTTCAATTTCTGTAAAATTTGCTCCAACAAAAACTTTTGAATTTTTGGCGATAGACAGTAGAGCAGTAGTTGAGTTCAAAACCACTCATAACTTAATTTTTTCCAAAATGTGGGTTGGTTCCTTTCTGCTTAACTCAGTCCAGTTTAGGTCATAGTCTTGATCATCCTGTACATTGTACTTTGCAGAAAAAGTTTTTCAAACTTTAGTCTATCATTTGCAGAGCTCAAAATTTCCGATTCTGAAGTCAACTTTATGATTCAGGTGCATAGAGTACCTACAATAGAGTCGCAATGTACTGGAGCGCCGATGAAGTCAATCCATTAACGGGCCTCTCCGAGCCACCTTTGAACGGTCATAACTTTTGAACCATATATTTCCCCAAGTTCAAAGATAGCTAGTTTTAAAGCTTGAATCAAGGACTTTCATTTAAATTGGTTTTTGTAATGATTTGTGCGTTCCATCTTATAGAAAAACCCGAAAAACTGAATTTTTTGGGCTTGAATAATCAAACAATGATTTTTTCCACATTGAAAAATTACCAAAAACAGACTATACCATACACTAAATGAAAGGTCTCGTCAAGAGCTTTCTTTGAGCTCAAGATCAAGTTGATCCGTTGCTTCGCTCACAAGTTATGGCGGTCGATGCGTTTGAACTTTGACCCCCTCCCCCCTCTTTCCCCTGTAAGGCTAGACCAGAAATGTCACTGGATTTATTCTTCTCCGATGATCCGTTCTAATTCCTGAAAGTATGGATGTAAAAGCTCTTGCGGCCATTTCCTATGGAAAATGGGACAGCCTCTTTCAAAGAATGGCCCAAACCACGTCCGTACAGTCTTTCACTGACTCTCGCATTCACCAGTACTTTGTTATCAATCAGGTGAAGTTTTTCCAACTCTATCCCGGTGTGGGGTGTGGCAATGCTTTAGTCACTGAAGTTGACTGTCCCAGCATTATGGAATTGTGAAATTTTTCAACAAAATAAGGTCGGTTTCTTCGATAGAAGTTTCTGGTTGAAAAGAAAGTGTTTCAAATTTTAAAGTGCTCTAGCAACCATTCAGTCACCTAACTCTATTGCGAAGCCAATTCACTCATTTGCGTTGAAGGCATATAATTCTGCATAAGAGCAACATTTTGTCTATACTTAGTTATATGGCAAATTTTTTTGAAATTTGAGATCTTATGCACGAGGGCAACATCTTCCTCGCCCAGCTAGCCAAAAAAGTTCCTGGAAACAATGAATTGGAAGAGGAGTTTCTTTCTATGATAATCTTTCAACCTCTACCACAATGAGTGATAAGGACATTGTCATGGAGATGACAGGAAACACTGACTCTCCTGAAGATGAGAGTAATTATGTCGAAAAAAAGTTTTAGCCTAAAATTTCTCATTGCGAGGCTCTAGATCTTACTTTAAATCTTCAAAAGTTTTTCTGTGCTCATGACTACAACGTAATGGAGGAAGAGGTAGGAATGTTCAGCTCCATCACACGAAGTGGAAGCAGCATTCAGTAATTTTCCTTACCAGTATAAAATGCCCCTTTTCAAGTTATCTTCATACCTAAGTTCAAGTAATAGGTAACTTAAACTAAAGTATCATTTTTTCATTTTTTTTTTTTATTTTTTTAAAGTTTTTAAATTGATTTGCAGGGATCTACACAATATGTACTATTTACAGAGTGCGAATATCTGTCCTTTGAACATGTCCAGGCACTTCTTATTTTTTTCCCGCAGTTCGGATGATATGATGCAACAGATTATATGACAAAATTCCGTGGCCTTTTGAATGTAGTATAAGCTGAAATTTACTGTACATGAGAACGGCAATGTAAATACATCTGAAAAATGATGTTTACTTTCTTTCGTTTCTTTTCAGTTTAATAGCATGCTTATCTTCAATTTTTTTGCTGGCCGCACCTTTTCTTCTGCACAGAACAGTCGGATACTTACACCAGCAGTCTCCAAACTACTGGGTTTTCTCATTATTGATCAATTCATTTGGCTATGCAACTGTGCTTGTTCCAGGATTTTTAATGTATAAATATATCAAAACCTCTGAGTACCTAGAACACACATCTGGTAAGTACCTTACCCCTCAACTAGACGTATTTAATTGACCTTGTTCATCTTAACAAATCAATTTTCACATCATTCTTTATCTTAAAGAGATGAAGTAATTAGATGATTCTGTTAGATTTGTATTCTGGACGTAGGAGCTGAATGAAAAGAAAAAGAAAAATTAAAAAAAATATTAATCCTCATGTGAAAGAGGGATATTCAAAATCAGCGATTTTACCCCCTCAAGAATTTTTCCTGGAGTTAGATATGTCATTTCTTATCACAGCCATGCCTTTTTCTGCAACGGGAAGTTCAAATTTTCCCGAGCACTACAGTGCCGTAAAGTTGAGAACGTGACAATGCCAGAGGTGACACTGAAATTGAGCTTTGAAGTTGCGGTTTGGACGAAAATTTTCTAGAAAATGCGCAATGTAAAGATATGTCCATGTTGTCAAGTACCTATTAATATTTACATGCATTGTTGCCAATTTTCAGATTTTTTAATTCATCAATTATGTCATAATACCACCTTTTTTATTAATAAAAAGTTATCGAATCAACAGTTCGTTTGATAAGCATCCATCATTATATTACTCCTTGCATAGAAATTTTTTGTTTGCAACATGAGACCATTTCTGTAAACGGCTTTGTGGAGGGGTGAAGCTTGTTGAGTCCAGGTAGTCAAGAAATTTTAGCCTTCAAAAGCACTGGAAAGCATTAATTTTTAGGTCTCTTGTGTAATTTTTGACGCTGCACCAGAGTTTCAACTTTTCGTCAAAAAATTTTGGACCAAAATTTGCGAAAGGAGGGGTATTGTTAAGGGCCTTTTTTGGGCCCACCCTGAAATTCCTCAACTCCGCGATTTTTTCGTCATTTAAGGTCTATATTTTACGGAATGCATCATGGTTTGGTCATTTCCGATCTATTTTGGAGTCTACCACTGGCCTAAACATGGGTCTGCAGGCCAATTTTGGCGAAAAACCCGCATTTTTCGCCAAAATTGGCACCATGATGCATTCAGTAAAATATAGACATTCAATGACCAAAAAATCGCGGAGTTGAGGAATTTCAGGGTGGCCCCCTAAAAGGCCCTTAAAGAGATCCCTTCTTTGGCAAAATGGCTTGAAATTGACCTTTTTGTGCATTACGATCTGTAACTTACCAATGGATGATTTGACGGCAAAATTTATTATTTTTAAATAAGTCAAAGCTCATTAAATTTCTGTATAATTGATTCAATACTTTTTGCGTAAGAAAAAATTTCACAGGCTGACAAGCGGCTAGCAGAAAAAAGCCCAAAATTGGCGATTTTTGAGTATTTGGGCCAATGGTGCCACGGGTTTTTTTCTCCCATGAGTTCTGTTACATTATGCAATCATATCTAAAATCCCAGCTGATACAACTACCCCATGGTCACGTTTTCAACTTGACAACGCTGTAGCGCGCGGGGAAAATTTTTGTTGAATTTGCCGTCGCGGAAAAAGGGGTACCTTTTGTTAAGAAAACAACATATCGAACTCTGGGTAAAATCGCCGATTTTGGATAACTCTTTAATTTAACCACGAGATCTGTACTTGAGCTGTTATTATATCAGTTACGAAGCGGAATTGAACGCAAAATGTTCGATTTCCAGTTTTTGATTGGTTTAGATTTTCCATGATGAAAGCAAGTAACTGTGAGACATTAATTAGTCCAGAAAACTTCATTTCATCCGGTATGAATAGCGCCTGAAACATCCTTAAATAGGGAATCGACGTTGATGGACTAAATCAAACGGAACTATGTTTGGTTCCTTTCCATGAAATGCACTAATCGAGATTTTGAATTCAATCAAAATCAACAACTTTTTTTTTTTTAAACGTGCTTTCTTGGCACCCGCACCTACTTCTGATTGATTTTGACAAAATACGCGATCCTGGGGTACCTTTTGACGAGGATCTTGGATTTTGAGTCAAATAAAAATTCTTAAATCCAAGGCAGTAGACACTGGCTACAATGCTATATCGGCACCCGTTCAGTTGTTCATAATGAAACTTGGTAAATGGGGGAATATATGATGCTTGCTCAATCGATTTTAGTAAAACTTGGTAACTGGGAATATGTTTTGACAAAGACTCAAATTCATAGTAATAGGGGGGTGGCTAGTTGCAACTTTGTGGCAAATCGTGATACAGTTTAGCGGTTTTCAGGGGTCAAAGTAGATGACATTTTAAGAGTTATTTGAGTTGAAGAAGCATTTCAAATTTTGTGGCAGAGCCAATATGGCGGCCATTCAAAAATACGTTCTTTGAATCGTTGTAGTTCTGCTCCTATTGGACCGATTTTGCTTCTTTTTTTTTTTATTTGAAAGATACTTAAAAGGAAAACGATTATATTGTATAGTATTAAGGTATGTAACAATATTAAGGATATAAAATTATATAATTCAAAACCTGATTTTTCAGAAACACAAAAATTGTTTATATTTAAATAACTTTTCAGGATGGGCGTACCAGCAATTTAAGATCGTTGATTCTGAAAGAGCTTGTTTTTAGCTTTCCAACGGTATATTACATTATGGGTCTGTAATTAACAGTTTGCGTTATATCTCAATCCGCGCGGCCGTGGCGCGCGATGAACCTCCGAAATAGCAGTGTAGCGCATTCTGCTTCTACGGAACCGATTATAATTTTTTTTTTTTGGAAGGTGTATCAACGGAGAAATTTGAAGATAGCTAAAGGGAGTCCAAGCCCCCAACTCCTTTTTTTTCAAAGTAGAAAATGTCTTTATCTGTGCTTTTTAGTGTTTTTTTCCGTTCAGTGCGTTGGCTTAGTGCCTAAAAAGGGCAAAATGCTGCAAATCGTGATTCAGTTTTGCCACTTTGGGAGGTCAAACTAGATAATATTTTAAGATTTTCGAGTCGAAGTGGCATTTTCAAAATGGTAGCAGATCCAAGATGGCGGCCACTTATAATGACGTCCGGGCGCGCACTTTGAGCTGCTATAGATCGAGATCCACTGAACCGATTTAATTTGTTTTTTTTATTTATTTATTTATTTATGTATTTATTATTTTTTTTTTTTTTTGTTTAAAAGATCATTTAAAGGTAGATATAATTTTTGATTTTGACAATCTTCAGGTCATTTTTTTCCACAAAAGCCGGTTTTTATAACTTTAACTTATACACCGGTTATAACTTTTAAAATCGCATAATTATGCCTTTTTAAATATGTATCACGTTAAAGAGCGTGCTTTCAGCTTTCCAACGATATATTACGTGATGGGTCTATGATTTAAGGTTTCCGCGCCACTGCGAACCGCGCGGTGGCAGCACAGCGCGGACCTGCATAAATTAGTCCAGGGGCATTTGTTGCATAGAAGCCTCCCGTGGAATAGTAAATTAATTAAGTGTGGAAGGTGGCCTAATCTCCTCTATTTGATGTGTAGAAAAATAATTTTGATGTTGTCAAGCTCCATTTTGCGTCCAACCCCTCGAATTCAAGATGGCGGCCAAAATGGGGGCTCGGGGGTTGAAGATGTTGGAATTTGTTTTTGATGTCGTGTATTGGGTCTATCACTTTGTAATTTTGGTCGTAGAATCCGAATTTGAGGCCAAAATTGTCTCCGGCTCAAAGGAATGCCCAAAATCCAATATGGCCGCCAAAATTTGCACGGTAAGGTCAATCTCCGAGAGTTGCGTAATCTCCGAGAGTTGCGTAAACTCCGAGAGTTGCGTACTCCGAGAGTTGCGTCGTGCTTTTTTGCGATGATAGAGCTTGCAGCCGTATTCATTTATATAATATGATGATTATAATCATCATATTATATAAATGAATAATTATCGGTTGATAGCTGGTAAATCGTGAAGGTAGCACACATTTTGTTTATCTGTAATAATGATTGTGAAAAAAAATCATTTGGGGATACAGGAAAGTAATATATCATTGGGAAAAATGTTTACCCTCTCTCCCGCCTTCGATCTTTTTTACCGCTCAAGATCCGTCCACATAAATTGTCGCATGACTTATGTTTGTACGAAACGGTAGTGCGTGTTCGCGGTTTTTCGCTCCTTTGCTAGTTATACCTCGCTTAATACCCTTTTTTAGTAGCTTTGGCTTCACATGTCGTTAGAGTAACTCCTTGATTTTGAAACAAGCCATTGAAATTCAAAATCGGTCCATTAGTAAAGGAACGTCGATGGTTTTAGCAAAACTTGCTGCTTTGAAAATTTTGAAAATCGTACTCAGCTCCATCCAGCATAAATACGTCCAAACAATACAACTGGAGAAAAAATATACTTACCCTGAATCTTCCTAAAATTAAGAAAAGTTTTCTCCCAATCATGAGGGAAAATAGAGAAACTTGCATTAGTCAACAAAGGAAAACAGCAAGCCACTTCTGCTGTTAAGTACCTGTTACCCGTTGATGATAGAGATTATAGAAGTGTATGAGTGCTGAATGTACGGAGAGAAAAGTGATTCTTATGATCTATGTCCCGTTTTACAGGTAATAATTGCCTGCAGAGATGTTTGCGCGTTTGTTTAGTCGGTGAAGAAGGAGAAAAGTTAATACAATTTGAATCAGCAAATCGAGCCTCTACCTCTTCCAATTTGAAATATGACTTCTTAATGACATCTTTTTGCTTTTTTGGGCTGTTGAGCACCTACTTGACATGGGGATACCTTCAAGAAAAAATAATGACGCAGGTAACAAGAGCTTAACTATATGTATCTATTTCCAAGATGTTGCACAATAATGCATAGGTAGGTTGTCCCAGAAGGAATGCAGCGATCACAATTTTATGAGAACAGATTAGATACTTTTAAGAAACTGATCAGATAATTGTATCAACAGCTCACTTTAAAAAAACTTTATCAGGGCCAGGCCCGCCACATGGGGGGGGATACTGGGTCCTTGGTACCGGGGCCTGGGCCCTGGAGGGGCCCGTGACGCAGGTGACAAACCACTACGAATTCATGTGTAACCCTTGTCTCGGAGGGAAAAGTGAAAAAATTACCCTAAAAATTACGCAAAAGGTGAATAAAGTTTCAAAAACACGCTAGGGCAAAATTTTTCTTACTTTTTTAGAGATTTTCAAGATTTTGAGTATATGTAGAATGATATTTTTAGTAACTGTGTTTCATTTTCTTCCGTTGTCGGATGCTAAGAGGCTCCTTTCTGGGCATCCTCGACTTCAATGGCTTAACTCCCTTGCCATAGACGTGCGAAAGGGGAGTCCAGGGGGGCCTGGCTCCCCGTAGAATTGAAAATTATCATCTGCCCCCTCAAAAAAAAATTTATAGATGTTTTGAATGCAACAATTCGAAAGATTTTGGTGCTGAAAGTAAACAAAAAGGCGTAATTATTCTGCAGAAATTGATGGAAAATCTCCATCATAAGAGTTTCATAATGCGTCCAAATAGATTTAAAATTTCAACAATTTCCCGGGGGAGGCCCCCCAGGACCCCCCCCCCCTGTGCTAGGGGCCCGGGCCAGAAAATTGGTACCAGGGCCCGAGATGGGATGTGGCGGGCCTGATCAGGGCAATGCATGACTTTTTGATCACACCAAATCACACTTTGTAGTAGACGTTTGAAAACTGTATATCATATTTTCTATCCTAAGAATTTAGCAACAGATATTGCACGTTATCATTTTCTATGCTGAATGCTCTATGAATAATCATAGAATAACTAAAACATAGGCTTAGTTGCCACTTATCAATATTCCATGAATATCTATAATTAATGCTATGAATATCTAAGAATCAAGGATATTGTGCGAATATTAACAGAATGGTGTGTGCTGATCTCAGCAGTGAATATTCGAAGACAAGTTAGACAAGTGATACTAATGTCAGCAGTACGACCATAATGTCGCAACTGTTAAACAAAGAGAGGGAGGAAAAAACTTATCCCCCCTTAAAATTGCTTTCAGATTAATAATTAACACGGAGAAATAAATTCAGAACAATGGACCCCTACTTCAACGCCTAAACTTCAAAGTAATATCATTCAATTATGAGGGAGGGGGCGGCAAAATTTTTTCGGCACCGCGCGGCAACCCCCAAAATCTGGCTCTGTCCAAGCCTCATTTCCTTTGTTCTTCTACCAACTTTTGCACCAAGTAATCCGCATCCTCTTCATCTTAAACTATTACGATCTGGTCATCGGCAAAGCTTGGAGTGTAAAGGGTTTGCCCATCAGAGAGTGGAATGCTCATTCCGGCGCTTTTTGTTTTCCATTCCTTCAACACGTGCTCTAGGTATACCTTAAATTATTTCATTGACAAGCAGCAGCTTTGTCTTAGCCATTTTAGCCAACGACTCTCCGTGAGATTTATCTCTTTCTTTGATCCAGAATTGGTAAATATTTTTCGGAAATTATTTAGTCAATCAGATGCGTCCGATCAGTCGTCAATTGGACGATCAAATTGACGATTGATCTTTCTTGACAGATAGAGAATTCTGAGTACCGAGCTTCTAGTCAGTGTTGCCGCACCAATTTCAGTAATTGCCGAATTATTTGCGCCGAACTCTGCTTTGATCCCACCATAAAATGATTAAATTCCTCCCACAAGTCCCTTGCTAAAACTACTTTTTGCCAAGGCTTCACATAGCCTCACCAATGGCACGCTGGCATAAACTCTCTGAAGATCCACAAACGCCAAGTGCAGCTCCTGGCCGACCGCCATTTTCTTCTAGATGTCCTAGGTAATGGTGAACAAATGATCGGTGGTAGACCTACCGCCTCTGAAACCAGCCTGTTCCTCGGCTTCCTGGTCGCTCCAAACCTCTTCGACCTTTGCGTTCAGAATTTTACTTACCGTAGACTTTTCTGAAGATTCCTAAGACCAATATACCTGTGGGGCTGAATTTTGTCCGCTCTTTCCCAAGGAAGTTTACCATCCATCGATGAGTCCAAACCGCACCACCGGCCAATCAGAAGCGGTGATGAGGGTCTTTATACAGGTTCCATCATGAAATGTTCTTTTTTTTGAACAGCGCGCCAGTCCATGTACTTTTCTCCGTCACAGTCAATCTTCAAGATGGCTGCCTTGCCACCACCATCTGTATTTTCTCTATGGGCTAGAGTCGTGGCCTGCAAACTATGGGACCCGGGGCTCAATTTCCGCATGATGAATTTTATTTTTCTTATTAGAATTATCATCAATTGATTGTAGTTAGTTCCAAACCCTTCCCTCACAATGATATATTCTACTTTTCGCGACTTGGCGCCTTTAAGATAACATTGGCGACTTTTCGATGACGTTAGCAACTTTCAGTTGACATTAGCAACTTCATAATTACATTAGCTCCTTTATTGTTATATCAGGTTAGGTTTGGTTAGATAACATTCGAAGTCAGTATTAGTTCTTTGTAAATTGTCATTTATTTCTGTGCATGGTTATATTCAGTCTCCGAGACAAAATATTAACACCTAAATGACGCATTCAAAAATTTGAATCAAGAATGAAATAAACAGGATTATTTTAAAGGAATTAAAACTGAAATGTGGCCGTCAATACGGAATGGACGCAAACTCCGCTACCAGCTACTGAACTGATTTCTCCGTTTTTTACGATTTACCACTTACTTCAGTGTAACTCAGCTGTTTATCCTGTTTTTTGTGCGTCATATTCCGGCTCCGTCGGCTTTTGTCGTCACTAATCGCGTGCCTGTGTGTTCGGGTAGCTTTGGCATTCTTCAGATAGGTTTGGCCGATTCGTTTAGTACACTTCGTGGTCATCATAAATGACTCGAGGAGGTTAACTAAGTCGATTCGGATAGCGCCCGTTAAGCGCCCACAAAATTTGGCCCCTGTAGTTATTACAATCTTGCTTACTGCCCTTCTTACCTATGACTGGCAGTATTCCAAGATTCCCTCCACTATTTTGGAATTTTGGAACTATGCCAACAGTCTTGCATAAGCTTCCTCAGACAGTCAAATAACTTATCGGTGCTACATTTTAACAACTCTGCCGGTACACCCCTGGCCCAGGAGCTTCTCCGTTTTTCAACTCCTTCACTCCTTTCCTCACTGCATCTTGGAGCTTGATCTTCCTTAGTGCTTATGACTCCCCCTTGAAACTCGGGTCGCCTCTCCGTCAATAATTCTTTAAAATGGTCCCCCAGCATGACAAGTGGTATCGGAGATATCACACAGGGCGTTCAGGCGTTTTATTCTGTCGCAACCCTTTGATTACTTTCCAGCCTTCCGTATTTTTCTGGCTTCCAAGGTCGGTATTTATTTTCATATATGAAAATAAATACGGTATTTATTCCCACGCCTCATTCATAAGCTGAATGATTACTCAACGGATTCTTGCTTGAGCCTGTCTGCACACGATTGTATCCTCCAACTTTTTGGAAGAAAGAAACTGATAATACCTATTCCTTTTCACATTTATTTCCTCCTCAACCTCTGCATCCCTCGAGTATGGTTTTTTGTTATCACTTTCTTAATCAAAAAATCTCTTGGCCTCTTCTGCTGCTGAGTGAACGCAATTCTTAATAAATTCATACCGCTTTTCCGTGCTCTCATCGCATGATATGTCTCCTAACTTTTCATCCAGGCGCTAAGTGAGAAGAGCCTTCGCACTCGGGTGCTGGAGGCTATTGATGTTATTCTTCACACTTCACTTGTTGCACGCATTTGTCGCTACGGTTGCGGATGGTAGCTTCGATCGTTTTAAGACACCCGAGGGGGAAAAGCTGCATCCGCTTTGGGGGAAGAGCGGTCTACCGCAGAAGAGCCCTCTATATAATCTTACCTGCTGGATCTTCAGGTATGTGACCCGTTTAACGAGCACGCAGTCAATTAAAGTTCTTAAGCCGCGGGTAGGTTGGACCCATGTATATTTGTGAATATCTTTGTGTTGGTAGAACCCATCCAATTCTTCTCATTTCCTCTGCTCACAAACGTCGATAATGCGACTTCCCTTGTCGTTTACCGTAACTTCACCAAATGGGCTGACGATTTTGCTGTCTACCCGCGATCCCGTTCTTCCATTTAGATCTCCCAACGGAAGGGCTTCTCTTCCAGGTCCTACCTTCGCCACCCTCTCGTCAAGTTTCTCAAGACTCTGGTCCTTAACTGCAAAGGTAGCATCATCATTGACCCCGTATACACCCAAAACAAGGACTCAGTGACAGTGCATGGTTAAGTTCATCCTAATCATGCGACTGTTGATAGCCTCCCAGTTCTTAACATTTTTTCGTAATTCTTTGCAGATCAAAATTGCGACGCCCTGTTGTGCACGCTGATGTCTTGGCATTCCACTGTTGAATAAATCATAATACCAAGGCTCTTTGATCCGTGGCCTTTCTTTTTCGTTTCTGTTACTACAGCCACGTCGATTCATAAGTTCCTTATCTTCTTTACCGCTTCCGTCCATTTCTGGGAAGGCCCTGTACATTCAAAATTCCAAATAAAGGGTCTAATTCCGCAACTTTAGTCGACTTATCCGATTTTAATCATCCGCATCTAATTAAATTGATCAAATGTTCCCACATAAGCAAGACAAAATGAAGAATTGTGTGAAAACCTTGTAGCTAGATTCACGTCTCAACGTGCGATTTCAAGTTTTGCAAAGCTTGTAATGAAGACACCTAGTGTATCATTCCCTGGTTTGTCAAATCTGCAAAACAAAGACAAGTTCAACAATAAGCTGGTTCTGCAATTGCAGAACGGCTAATTTCTGCCCGATTGAAGCGAAAAAACGTGCAAGAAATTTTGTTTCTGGCAAAATATCTTATTCATTGATGTCCAAGTGAGTTTGCCTCTAATACTAAATTTCAGACTAAATGCTGGCCTTGAGCCTGTATCATACGATCAAAGTAAAGCTCTCAAAGTGGCGTCACGTGGCCCCACGTAACGCCACTTTGAGAGCTCTACTTTGGTTGTATGATACAGGTTTTGCGAAAGTTCACTGAAGCCATCCCCGCAATCTGTAATTTTGTAATGTGTAATCTGCGTTACCACACAATCCTGTTTCAAGTTTTTTCCTTTCCTTTCCTTTTTTTTTTTCCTTTTTTTCCATAGTAGAAGAACAGATGTTCTTCTACTATGGTTTTAGAAAAGATTATTAAGAATCCTCGCTCTACTCAGAAACAGTAGTTTTGAAAAGCAACAAAAGGTTGTAACTATCACTAATTGTAATCATTCATTTCTCTTTCCAGACTAATTAGATTACTAAATTTGCCTCTCCTACGTTTTGTCTCGGTTTTACAGCACGTTCAGTTTTCAATTTTCTTATTTTCTTCGATAATAAAATTGTTTTCAATTTATTTTAGGAGTATAGAAACTCTAATGGGGACAGGCAGTTCTTCAAAGACTCGCAGTTCTTGGTGTTTGTAAATCGTGCTCTGGCTGTAATTTTTTCAGGAGTTTACTTACTTTTTACCAAACAGCCAAGACATACACCGCCCCTGTACAAATATATTTATGCATCTCTATCTAATATCATGAGTTCTTGGTGTCAGTATGAAGCTCTCAAATTCGTCAGTTTTCCAACGCAGGTAAGGAAAAAATACACTCCAACACCTCACAGTTGTAAATCTATAAGAACAGGATGCGTTTTGTTTGTTGATATGGGTCACAACTAAAACGGGACGAACACCAGGAACTTTCTTTTGAAAATTCTGTAGTTACTTTCTTTTTCCCGGCGGTAAAAATATGTAACTACATTACTTTTTCATACTTTCTTTGTTTTTCTTCCCTGCTGGAAATTGAGTAATTCTTTTCAGCAAGTAGTATGGCCGCTTATTCGTTGTTTTTCTGGAGAACGGCTTTTCTGATTCCTTGTATTCTAAAGCACCCATATATACAGGGTGATCCAAAAGTCCCTTCCACCCCCTCTAACTTTTTACCTAACTGAGGTAAAGATTTGAAACTTGGGGGATAATCCTAGGTCAAAGGGAGCTACTTTTTGGCCCCCCTAAAATTTTCAGGGGGTCCCCCCGTCGGGGGGTCAAACCCGAAGTCAATATCTCAAACCGTTTCAAAATGGCGGCCGGTTGAAGTTCAAAATGGCCGAAAATTCACACCGGTTATTTGTCAATGGATTTGCGCGAAAATCGGTATGTAGGGGTATTATGACACGAGAAAAACGAATTTGATGTTAGATTTTCATAAAAACCAAAATTTCCAAAATGGCCGCCGGTTAAAGTTCAAAATGACTAAAAATTGATTTTTTTTTTAGAAATCTAAGTTCAAAGGAGGAGTATCGTTTTGGGCCTTTTCCGGCCCCACCTGGATTTTGCTGAATGTTTCATATTTTCAAAGTACTACTCCTAGGTAGACTTTATGCTAAATATTTTACCGAACGGAGCCCATGCAAAGGTGCAACAACGCCTCAAACCCAGAACCTCGGCATCGAAAAATAGTTATTTTCGTCGACTTTTTCGACTGTTATCACTCTTTCAGCAGATGCTTCCTATGTATTTTTTTGCGTACTTTCCGTTTCTGGCCTTTTCAAAGGCCTCCGATAAATTTTAAGGGGCCTTATGGCTCATTGTTGCCATTTTTGGCCCATTTTTAGGGTTTTTTTCTATTTTACACACGCAGAAATCAATTCAAACTAAGAACCGTGTACGTTTTTGAAAAGAACGCAAAAAAAGAATAAAATATGTTCATTGAAACTTTTTCCTACGTTGCCAAATTTTCGAGAAACATCGTCCCAAAGAGCCAAAAATGGCAAAAATCGATAAATTGCCACGCTTTCGGTTCAAGAAAGTGGAGTATAACTTTCATATCGACGTACGAAACAGCTCTTACCTATAGATACAACATATCAAAAAATTATAATTGTACCGGGATTCCCACGATGTGAAAATTGACCGGTATGTCGATTTTAGCGGCCTTTCTTTACTTGAAGGTAGCTCTTTTGAATGTTTCTCGACTTTAGTCACCCTCTACGGGTGTGTTCTATGTGTATTTTTCTACGAATTTTTCATATCTGGCCATAAAAATGGCTTCCTGTGAATTTTATAAGGCGTAACGGTCCATTGTTGCCAATTTTCACCATTTTTTAGGGGTTTTTTTTTAAGTTTACATGTGTGAAACTTAATTTAATCGAAAAACCGTGTACATTATCGGAAATAATGTAAAAAAATACATAAAATGTGATTTGTAACTTTTCCCTACGTTGCCAAGTTTTCGAGAAAAATCGTCCTGAAGCGCCGAAAATTGGATTAATCATCACGTCGAAGGTTCTAAGAAGTGACTTATGACTCTAAAGCGGATCGTGGGACACTTTCCCCGCGCAGTTTCTGTTGTTTGGTATATTTGGCCTGTAGCAAGCATCTTGAGAACCAAGGAATATCTCGAGGTTACAGGAATAAAGAGGTGAACTGGAGTGAAGGATAAGGTAAAAGCACCATGAGGGGCCGTTTTGTCACGTTCATCTGAGCCATTACATGTTCCGTGAGACGCACTGCAATTTTCCATTTCCGATACGTTATTTGTAGTGAAATAAAACTGAATATTCACTTCCTGGAACCTTCGATGTAATGATTAATCCAATTTTTGGCATTTTTGGCGCCTCAGGACGATTTTTCTCGAAAACTTGGCAACGTAGGGAAAAGTTACAAATCACATTTTATGTATTTTTTTACGTTATTTCCGATAATGTACACGGTTTTTAGATAAAATTAAGTTTCCCACATGTAAACTTGAAAAAACCCCTAAAAAATGGTGAAAATTGGCAACAATGGACCGTTATGCCTTATAAAATTCACAGGAAGCCATTTTTATGGCCAGATATGAAAAATACGTAGAAAAATACATATAGAACACACCCATAGAGGGTGACTAAAGTCGACATCCCAGTCAATTTTCACATCGTGGGAATCCAGGTACAATTATAATTTTTTGATATGTTGTATCTATAGGTAAGAGCTGTTTCGTACGTCGATATGAAAGTTATACTCCACTTTCTTGAACCGAAAGCGTGGCAATTTATCGATTTTTGCCATTTTTGGCTCTTTGGGAAGATTTTTCTCGAAAATTTGGCAACGTAGGAAAAAGTTTCAATGAACATATTTTATTCTTTCTTTTGCGTTCTTTTCAAAAACGTACACGGTTCTTAGTTTGAATTGATTTCTGCGTGTGTAAAATAGAAAAAAACCCTAAAAATGGGCCAAAAATGGCAACAATGAGCCATAAGGCCCCTTAAAATTTATCGGAGGCCTTTGAAAAGGCCAGAAACGGAAAGTACGCAAAAAAATACATAGGAAGCATCTGCTGAAAGAGTGATAACAGTCGAAAAAGTCGACGAAAATAACTATTTTTCGATGCCGAGGTTCTGGGTTTGAGGCGTTGTTGCACCTTTGCATGGGCTCCGTTCGGTAAAATATTTGGCATAAAGTCTACCTAGGAGTAGTACTTTGAAAATATGAAACATTCAGCAAAATCCAAGTGGGGCCGCAAAGGCCCAAAACGATACTCCTCCTTTGTTTATCTTATGCCAAAATGCTCTCAACTTCCAAGTTTTAGGCAAATCCATCAGGAAAAAACCGAGGTGACAATTTTCGGCCATTTTAAACTTTAACCGGCGGCCATTTTGGTTTTTTGAAAATCTAACGTCAAATTCGTTTTTCTCGTGTCAAAATACCCCTACATACGGATTTTCGCGCAAATCCAGTGACAAATACCCGGTGAGAATTTTCGGCCATTTCGAAACGGTTTGAGATATTGACTTCGGGTTTGCGCGAAAAGTTTTCTTTTTTTATGCTCTTTCGAACGAGCTATCACAAAGGGGGTCTTCCTATTTGAAAATTAAAAGTTGGGGCTGTTGCCCCCCAAGGGGGGCCCCCCTGAAAATTTTAGGGGGGCCAAAAAATAGCTTCCTTTGACCTAGGAATATCCCCCAAGTTTCAAATCTTTACCTCAATTAGGTAAAAAGTTAGAGGGGGTGGAAGGGACTTTTGGATCACCCTGTATATAGCTTATACTTGCTCACGTCAAAATTTTGAATTCGAGAGCAACTTAAAGAAAATCATCTCTGAAATTCATGTGTCAACAGAAACACCATGTATATGGATATAGCAGGGCTGTCCCAAAAGAAACCGGACTTTTGTCATAGCAGGCGAACCAGTTATCGTAACGAGGTTTTCTTGGGCTTATCTGAAAGCTGATATGCTACTTAACATGCTTGTTTTTACAGACTGCAAAAAATTATATTGGTTTTGGACATTACATGCTTTGGAATCGAGGAAAGTCAGACTTGAGGAGCGATTTTTGTCTTTATTTCAAGAAAAGAGCCGTATGCGAAAACGACTTTTTTCGCCCCGCCCCCCCCCCACTAAAACTTATTCCAACTTCGTGTTTCAGTTACTCATACTGGAGCGCTTTTTTCCCCAAATTTTCAGACTCCCAAAAAAAAATTTTTTTTGGGGGGGGGGGCGGTAGGGGGGGCGGAAGTCAAAACCTGTGAACCTCGATATCTTTCGAACGAAAAAAAATATTAAGGCCCGGTTTGAACACAAAATCGTCTAAACTTGCACACTTCAAGATTCTAAAGATCAAAATACCAAAATTACAATTTTAAGTTAGCTTATGTGCTTTTTTTCAGTTTTTGAGGAAAAACAATTTCTTTTAAACGGACTAAACTGAAAGATCACATTTTTGTATTTGAACCAAAACCAGTTTTTTAAATTGTTCATCTTTTTCCGCATCCAACGAGTGGTCATATAAGCTGGAGAACCGAACGGTTCCCGAGTTATGAGTAATAGAAGTTTCCGCTGAACGCGCGCCGACCGATTTTTGCGCGCCAAAATACGGTTCCAAAGCCGGATCTGGGTGTTAATAAATCCGATTTTATGTCCAAACCGTGCAAAATACATTTTTAGGTATTCTTGAGGGTCGCTGAGTTCAAAAATACAGATACTTCCAAAAATTCACTTTTTTCCCGTAGCGCTACGCGAGAGACCCACTGAGCGGCTGGTCGTTCGGCACGTTGTCTTTTGAAATAAAGACGAAAATCGCAACTCAAGTCTGACTTTCCTCTATTCCAAAGCATGTAGTGTCCAAACCAATACGAATTTTTGCAGTCTGTAAAAACAAGCATATTCAGTAGCTTATCAGCTTTCAGAAAAGCCCAAGAAAACCTCGTTACAATGCTTGGTGCGCCTGCTATGACAAAAGTCCGGTTTCTTTTGGGACAGCCCTAGTACATGGTATATCATGGCTCATACGAATACATATTATGTAACTGAACTAAATATTAATTGGACAGCTGAGACTAATCTTATACTTACTTTTACCTTTACAGGTTTTAACCAAAGCCTCAAAAATTATTCCTGTCATGGTGATGGGAAAATTGATGTCTCAAAAAAAATACGAATATTACGAGTATGTCACAGCTATCAGTGTTTCTATTGGCATGATGTTCTTCTTGTTTGGTACACCGGAAGACAAGAAATCAGGTAATTTCTTCGAATGTTTGCGTATGATTATCATCGTCGATTGTATTGCACCAAAAATAAGTGACTTTATTCACGGTGAAGATCCATATTGTTAGGCTACATTAGAAACTTTATACTTTGGCTGGTAATTCAATAGATGTTGTCCCATCTTTCACTACGTTTGGACCCCTATCAGGTACGATCCATCTCCTCAGGGATGGCACTGTAGTGTGTTAGACGTCCAAATATGGCGGAATGTTTTATTGAGGCCTTCCTGTAGCACTGTGGATCGAAGGATAGGGCGGCGCGGACATAGGGTTATCGTGTGACTGTCAACCGCCATATGATACACAAATATATGTTTTCTACGGTAATTTTTCACGAGAAAGCTGAATATCATATTGAAAAGGCGTTAAAGTCAGCGGTTTGTAGGAAAAATTGATTTTTTTTTTCCTCTTTGAAACCCTTCAAAAAATAGTCAATGCTCTAATAATTATTGCGATTAATTATTCTTTTATTTGTTTCTGCTGAGCTACAAATATTTTGTTTTCTTCTTTTATTTTGCTGTAAACTCAATGTGAATATTTTTAAACAAGCAATGCCCCTCCCCCCTTCCCCCGCTTCCAAAATTTACTAGCTGGATACGATGCGCGGTTAAGTGAGCTGTTCAGGTACAAAGCAAAACTTAATTAAAATAAAAAAGAGAGTTTATGACTCACAATGAAAACTGAGGGGGCAGAAATATTCCACTTACACAGGGTGCTCCAAGCACTGTTCCTTGACGAGCAGATCCAGAGCTTCCGGTAAAAGGAGTTTTGACTTTTTCTTCACCGTAATTTGGGGTCGGAGGCTCGAAATAATAGGATCTGAGGCGCGGAGACCAACAAAAAATGCATGATGCCTTCATTTGCAGTTTCGAGCAGCTTGCAGCTTTGAGACGTACTATCATCTTGATTCAGTTATCAGTATCGCTGATTGATCGCTTATCGTAGCGAAGTAGGAACAAACGCAAATCTGAGGATATGGTGACCGCTCAAATCGTCGCTCCTCTGACGTAAAGGCGTATCTCAATTTCAACGTGAACCCCGTTTTAGACATAAGTTCATCTTTCTGGGGCTCATGCGGAAATAGAGATAGGTACGCCTTCACGTTAGAAGAGCGACGAATTGTAAAAAACTCAAACCAACAATCAAGTCGAACGATTTTTCATGAAAACCAGGGGCATCATTTCTGCAGAATATTAGGAGGTTGAGAGTAACATTTGTTTAAAAGAATAAAAATTACTGAAAGGGAGGGGAGAGTAAAATTTTATAAAGTCAAAAATCCCTAAAATTGATGCATATATTGACCAAAATAGAAATCAAATTGCGCTACGATCAATTGACTTAGTGTTCCCTCCTTTTTTTCGATATAGAAAGAACAAGATTGTGGTGCAAGATGATATTATTGGCGTTGGAAGGGAGAGGGGGGGAGGGCATGACTAATTTATTCCGAAAGCCAATTCGAAACGGTGGTAAGTTATACCAACCCAATGGGAGCCTTCCAGCCTTCCTAGATGCAAAAAACTAGGACTTTTCATTTAAAATTCAAATATTGGTTTTTTCGAGGAGCGAGTTGTCATCACATTTATAGGCCTAACTTCTAAAAAGGCAAAAAAAGGCAAAACTTCTCAATTGATATTGGTTCCTAGGGATATAAGGAACATTTCTCTAGGTCGGTTTTCTTTGAAATGTTCTGAAACAATGTCGAAATCATTCACTGAATTTGGAAAACCGGGTTTTTTAGGGTACCATGTCTGTGCACTGATATTAGTATTAAAAATAAGGATGAAAAATATGGCAACGGGTGTTTCTCTCTCCCCATTGCATCAATAATAGAGGACAACCCCCAAAATTTGATAAAAAAATGCAGGATAATTAAAATATAGGAGTAACGTCTAGGCTAAAAATGTACCCGAAATTCACCTCAATATGGACACGGTGTATCACACGTCCGTTACATCGCTTTAAATTTTTTTTCAGATGTAATATTGGTATTTTATGTTCGGCTAAAGAGTCTACTTTAAGAAAATGCCAAGAAACATTATGTCCCTTCACTTTCATTTTTGGGCCTATGTCCGACCTTTACCATTGGCTCGATCCACTGTGTGTAGGGAGAAGGGGGTGTTATAAGTAAAACCTTCATTTGCCTGTCATTTTTCAACAAATCATCAGATCGAGTTTAACTTTTTTTCTAATACATCAAAAAGATGTATTTGAATCTTCAGTATAAAGTCAGTGACATTCATTAATGAATGTCATTTTGTATCACTTTAGAACAAGTTTCAAATTTTGATGGGGCGAAATTCTAAAATTTACCACTTTTTGACTGCTCGTCCCGACTATACACATCAAAAATTATACCGTATCGAAGTTACTATGCCCAATCCATGAGAGCTAATTACTTGTTTGCATAAGAGAAAAGAATCTACGCCTTTTTCTGTAATGATCTAGAGGGATCCTGAGTCACAATGTCTGGTTAAAATAAGCGCTGATAGTTAAAGTATATATATTGAATTTCTTCCAAAAAGAAAAGAAAAACCAACAGGAATCCTGAAAGTGTGATTGATAGTAATAATTTTGACCTCACAGTACATTTCATGAAAATTACCCAAAGTCCGTTTTCTCAGATTGCATCAAATATACAGGGTGTACCAAAAGTCCGTCCCACCCCTGCTAACTTTTGAACGAATTGAGCGAGGGTAATGAAACTTTGGGAATGTTCCTATCTCTTAGGGGACCATCTTTTGGGGGGGGGGAGTCAAAATTTTGGTCCCCCCTCAGGGGGGGGACAGGGGCCCCCCAACTTTTTTTTTCAAATAGCAACCCCTATCTTGTGATACCTCATTCGAAAGAGCATAAAAAACTAAGAATTTTGGCGCAAACCGCAGATCACTATCTCAATTTTTGACCGAGTTATGATAGGTCAAAGGTCAAATTCGACCTATTTTCAAAAAATCATATCTCCGGTTCAAATTATCGCAAAGAAAAAAATAAAACGGGAAAATTTACCAAATTGTGTTCGCTTTTATGTAAAAATTGCATAAATCACTTCGATTTAATTTTAAGGGGGGCTCGGACCCCCAAATACGTCAATTCAAAGGTCATTCGATTTTCCCGCGAAATAAGCCAATTTCGCCTAGATTTGCCTCCACTTTATCTCAGTAAGGTCGAAATCAGTTCAACATTACTGAGATAAAGTGGAGGCAAATCCAGAGGAAATTGGCTTATTTCGCAGGAAAATCGAATGACCTTTGAATTGACGTATTTGGGGGTCCGAGCCCCCCCTTAAAATTAAATCGAAGTGATTTCTGCAATTTTTACGCAAAAGCGAACACAATTTGGTAAATTTTCCCGTTTTATTTTTTTCTTTACGATAATTTGAACCGGAGTTATGATTTTTTGAAAATAGGTTGAATTTGACCTTTGACCTATCATAACTCGGTCAAAAATTGAGATATTTATCTGCGGTTTGCGCCAAAATTCTTAGTTTTTTATGCTCTTTCGAATGAGGTATCACAAGATAGGGGTTGCTATTTGAAAAAAAAAAGTTGGGGGGCCCCTGTCCCCCCCTGAGGGGGGGACCAAAATATTGATCCCCTCAAAAGATGGTCCCCTTTGAGATAGGAACATTCCCAAAGTTTCATTTCCTTAGCTCAATTCGTTCAAAAGTTAGAGGGGGGGTCGGGGACTTTTCGCTCACCCTGTACATCAAATTGTAAGACATAAGACTGCCGCCTTGGCTTCAGTGTCCCCGTTTTTGGTGATAATGGACCATTAGACGAGGTACGAATTTCAGCATTCTGATACATGTTTCTTAACTAAAATTTCACGTAGAATACGACGCGCACAACGAAAATTACCGAAATCAACTCTTTCCAAAGATATTTAATGATTCTTGATGCGTGAATTCAAACCCCCGGCTCATGAAAACTCAATGCTCTGTGTGATTCACATCGTGCGCAAAACGTTATCATGACAGTCTCTACGATATGCAAATCTGGCAACCTCAATCTTGACGCTTTGGCTCAGCTGAAGCAAATTGCGTATAGTTTGAACAACACATGGTGGGAAATCAACATTACTCGATTGAGAAGATTGCTGAAACTGTTGTAGTGCGCGATTTGACTCATGTAGACCTTTAAGTTTCTTGTGAGCGGGCAGTTCAAATTCCTCGTAACCAATGTGAACTAAAAACGTTAATATCTTCGTTTGGAGTTTGTTTCATTAGTTTTCGTTGCGCAAATCGTGCTGTACGTGAAATTCTGGTTAAGAAACATGTAACAGAATGCTTGAATCTGTACCTTGTCTAGTCGTCTTCAGGCAAATTTTCGCGAACAAATGTCATACGAAAAACGAATTGGTGACAGTTGACCGATGGCGGTGTTTGGTGATCGTAAGAGCCAATCACAACTGGGAATGGATTTTCGCATGGTTTTTGAAATAAAATGATAAAATATGCAATATGATTTGTCATATTTTGGCGCTAAATGTGATTTTGAGGTTATGTTCCTTTCTGTTCTATTATGAAATGAAATTTGGATGTTTAAGAAATAAATTGAATGTTATTTAAGAGTTAATGTGTTCTTTTATTATTATTACTTCAATTTTGCCCTCTTTTCACAGAAGTATTACATTTTTCTTACACTTTACATTTCTTGAAAGAGGTTGTTTGATGAAATTCTGCCACCGATTGCATCAATTCGTTTTCGAATTCTGCTCTGGAGCGGAATTCGATTTTTCCAATTGTTGGAACTCACAGGTCTCCAATGAGACCCCCAAACGGATCGAATATCATGAAAATAAAATGCACAACCGTCGAATATGATACGAAAGCCTATGATATTCGTTCGCGAAAATTTGCCTTATTACCACTTATCAGTACCCTGAATTTTTCTTCCCCAAAATTCCCATCTCCCATAGCTCATTTTAGATGAATTGTTGCGTTGGGAGCACCTACTCGGATGCTTTATTCCTCCTGTTTTTTTTAAAATTTCTCAATTGTTCCTCCCATTTTTCAGGTGCCTCTGTGACAACCGTGTCTGGTTGCCTCCTCTTAATTGGCTACGTTGTTTTCGATAGCTTCACCTCAAACTGGCAAGGTGCTCTCTTCAGTCAGTACCGCATGAGTTCGGTGCAAATGATGTGTGGAGTGAACGTCTTCTCCTCACTGCTTCTCCTTGTTTCACTTGTTGTTCAAGGCAGCCTCTTCAAATCTTTAGCATTTATGACCATGGTAAAACCAAATTTTCTTTTGTTCAAATAAGTTGACTTGACTCCCTTTTTGTCAATCGAGGGTTGAACTTTTCAAATGTTGGGAACTTTTTGCAGCAAAAGTCTGAGTTTTAGAAGTTTCTCTGTAGTTGTTATAAACAATGCCTCGGTAGCAGTTCATGATAGACTAAAGCCACAGAACTCTTTGCCATAAAAAACTGGGTTATATTTCATAATGCCAGGCAACATATGGCAGTGTTATATAATCCTTGTCAGTGAGCTATCAGCACTTTCTTTTCAAACACCCACAAACTTTCATAAACCAACAGTATCAATGGAGCTCTTGCATGTGTCAGGAATTTGCGATTTGAGCACTGTATGATTTTGCTTGTATATATCGCATATATGTTTCTATGGTTACACATCTTCACTTGTCTTCTTGTTCTCTTTGCCTATTCACTCGCTCCTCTGATCTCCTAGCTATTTGTCATTATTTCCATCCCTCTTTCCTCTTATCCCTACAAGCACTGATTTCTACAGGGTGTACCAAAAGTCCGTCCCACCCCTACTAACTTTTGAACGAATTGAGCGAGGGTAATGAAACTTTGGGAATGTTCCTATCTCTTAGGGGACCATCTTTTGGGGGGGGGAGTCAAAATTTTGGTCCCCCCTCAGGGGGGGCGCGGGGGGCCCCCAACTTTTTTTTTCAAGTGGCAACCCCTATCTTGTGATACCACATTCGAAAGAGCATAAAAAACTAAGAATTTTGGCGCAAACCGCAGATCAATATCTTAATTTTTGACCGAGTTATGATAGGTCAAAGGTCAAATTCGACCTATTTTCAAAAAATCATAACTCCGGTTCAAATTATCGTAAAGAAAAAAGTAAATCGGGAAAATTTGCCAAATTGTGTCCGCTTTTAAGTAAAAATTGCAGAAATCACGTAGTTTTAATTTTAAGGGGGGGCTCGGACCCCCAAATACGTCAATTCAAAGGTCATTCAATTTTCCCGCGAAATAAGCCAATTTCCTCTGGATTTGCCTCCACTTTATCTCAGTAAGGCCGAAATCAGTTCAACATTATGTTGGTTAGTCCCCAAATTTCGGGAAAAGTTAAAAAAAAACGAAATTTAAACGGTCAAATTTAATCACCTTAAATTTCGTTTCTTTTTTCCCGCGAAATAAGCCAATTTCGCCTAGATTTGCCTCCACTTTATCTCAGTAAGGCCGAAATCAGTTCAACATTACGTTGGTTAGTCCCCAAATTTCGGGAAAAGTTAAAAAAAAACGAAATTTAAACGGTCAAATTTAATCACCTTAAATTTCGTTTCTTTTTTTTAACTTTTCCCGAAATCTAGGGACTTGCCAACGTTATGTTGAACTGATTTCGACCTTACTGAGATAAAGTGGAGGCAAATCTAGGCGAAATTGGCTTATTTCGCGGGAAAATCGAATGACCTTTGAATTGATGTATTTGGGGGTCCGAGCCCCCCTTTAAAATTAAAACTAAGTGATTTCTGCAATTTTTACGTAAGAGCGAACACAATTTGGTAAATTTTCCCGTTTTATTTTTTTCTTTACGATAATTTGAACCGGAGTTATGCTTTTTTGAAAATAGGCCGAATTTGACCTTTAACCTATCATAACTCGGTCAAAAATTGAGATCGTCACCTTCCAGACAAAGTATCACAAGCGCCATGCGACGTTTAAAAATTTCCGCCGCCATTATATTTTTTTACAGAGAAATTGTTCAACGAAGCTGTCCGAAAATTACACCGAATTTTCTTTGTGCTGCCGATAAAATTTAGTGAAATTTTCGAACAGATTCAACCAACAATTTCTCAGTAAAAAAATCAAATGGCGGCGGAAATTTTTATACGTCGCATGGCGCTTGTGATACTTTGCCTGGAAGGTGACGAGATATTGATCTGCGGTTTGCGCCAAAATTCTTAGTTTTTTATGCTCTTTCGAATGTGGTATCACAAGATAGGGGTTGCCACTTGAAAAAAAAAGTTGGGGGCCCCCCGCGCCTCCCCCTGAGGGGGGACCAAAATTTTGACCCCCCCCCCCCCAAAAGATGGTCCCCTATGAGATAGGAACATTCCCAAAGTTTCATTACCCTAGCTCAATTCGTTCAAAAGTTAGCAGGGGTGGGACGGACTTTTGGTACACCCTGTATGTACAATTTCGCAAGAAACACAATCGAGCCACTGGTTTTCTCTGAAATCAATTTTTCAGTCAAATCAATCAAATTGTATGATTTATTTCTTTTAGGGCTGTGCGAATATTCGCAATCCGGACTATTCGCGTCCGGAATATTCGGCAAATATTCGCTTCATCTGCCTCGCGCATTATTCACAAATTACGAATATTCACGCCATCAAACTGACATTTTCAAATATTCACGCCGTCACGAGGAATGAATTTTCAAATATATGCGCCATCGAAAAAAAAAACGAATTTCCGAGTGGCAATCATGAAACGTTGCGAGGATCTGCGGATCTCCTTTGATGTGTATCGACTTTGCCAAGTTTACGAACAGCAAGCGCGATTGCAATTGGCCTGTGTATCTTGGTTGCTCCAAGATTACTGCACATTGAAAGTTAAATAACCAAGACGGAAAGAGGGTAGAGATAATATCTACGTGAAATTAAGTACTGATAATCAATTATTCAATTAATTATCGATGAAATACATTTTTAAGATCATGTTACTGGTTGAAAGTTTAAACAATACTATCCAAAACGTGCTTTTGTATTCCAATCAGAATCTGAAAAGGATTTATCCTAACTAGAGGACCAGTTGCAAGTTGTTGAGCTTGGTAATCCTTACTAATGATACGACCACACGAAAACCGGCGTGAGTAAAACGTGTTCGACACAGAAATGTCTGAAATAGAAAAAAAAAGATAAACACATTTTCATCTACACCAAAAAAATATAAAATACTAAAATGTGTCCAGTGATCCTTTGATACAAGCGTGACTGCCCACGCAGTTACCTTCTAATCCTGGGAATGCATACGTAACTGCAGGGACAGGCAAGCCAGCATTCAGGGATCTTCAAACAAATTCTTAACAGCTTAGGCTACTATCATAACATTTCATTGTTTTCTGTGCAGGTGTATGAGCAAATGAAAATTTCTTAAACAATTAATCACTTTCTTTGTCGATTTTTTTAACATTTGCGAATTTTCACACTTAAAAAAGTCATTTCAAATTATTCGTTTTACTATTCGTAGCTGTGAATAATTGACCTAAATTATTCGCTATTCGCTTCGTTCGGAAAATTCACTTTTTGCACAGCCCTAATTTATTTAGATACTTTAATACATTTTACTTTAGCAAATTAATGAAACAGTATGGATACATACCTTCTGAAGAAGTCAATGCAAAAGACTTTGATTTGTAGTATCTTATCAAAACAAGAGCAAAGATGATTCAGTCAACTTTTGATGCAGAATCAAAGACACTTGCTAATAATCAAATTGAAGGTAATGCTGAAGTCAAGTATCTTTGATTTTGTGACACTCAGTTGATCTTTATCAGTACAGCACTATTTCGTACTAAAAATATTTCACTTTAATGAAGAAACGCCTTTGGCTCAAAGTACAATCCTGCTGCACACTACATACACACTTCCTTTTGTTTTCTCAACAGCAGTTGCTGTTGAGTAAAACGGTTAGAAAAGACACTTCTCATTATTACCAGATTATGTACCCGAAGACTTACTTAGATTGAAATGAAAATGGGAAACTTTTTACTCTAAATTCTTCAGAACTTCAGAACGACTATGAGGATCTAGAAACTTCCATGACCACTGAGTGATAAGCCTAAATAGGTGGTGCATGGAAACATATACAGGAGAAACCAATCGTCGGTTAAGTTCACTACAACCTCTGCCAAGCACCGCTGATGTCGCCGCTAACTGAAGTTGGGGGTCCTTATTTACTCTCTTGGTCCATGCCCTATCTTTGCAAAGAGAATTTGTCTTGATATAGAGGTGGATTCTCAGGGTAGCGTGGGATATCCCCTTCATTACGGCCTCAACTTTGAGAGCTCTCTTGAGCTATGAAGATAATATCAGAGAAAACTAGGTGCACTGTCATGTTTATTGTGAAATTTTACACAGGATCGAGCACTTGAATCGCAGATCCCTGACACATGTGAGAGCGCAATTGCCGACCTTGAAACTGCTAGAGCTCTGATTCTAAGAATTTTTGCCCCCATCTTTTAATCTTTTGAGTCACTTTGGAACATAGCATTTCTTTCAAGCTTAAAATAGAAAAAACTGCACTTATGCACCTTGTCCTCCAAGCCCCTCAAAATAGACAGTAATTGTTGAAAACAACTCTTAAAATACTCATAAAAATAATACACTGTTTTTTAACACTTTCTTTACGTAAATTTTATTTTAAAAAATTGTTTTCAAAATCACTTTTTTTAAAGAGTTTTTCGACACTTTTTTTTACTTACAGGGTGGCTAGAAAAACCCGGGAAAAGTCAAGGAAAGCAACTTGACTGGTAAAAACCAGGGAAAAGCCAGGGAGTTTCGTCAACGGTTAGGGAACTTTTTGTGGAGCCGGGTTCCACGTGAAAATCGGGTTCGCCATGGCCCAGCTGATCGCGTTGTTGTGCCAACGTTTTGACCACATTAATTGGATTGCATTTTGTAAAAAGGAACCAAGAGCATTCCAATGTCGGTTAGCTTGTGTAACTTTGTTTACCTTGCAAATATAAACTGAGCATCTAAAGAGGATTCATCTTTACTCTCAATAAACTATAAATTCATGCTGAAAATTATCTTTGTAAATTTAATTTTTGCATGATTTCAGTAATTGTGTTGCAAAGAATGTAAGTTGTACAATCCTAGCAACATTGGAATGCTCTTGGTTCCTTTTTGCAAAATGCAATCCAATTAATTGTTACGGTATTGTAAAAAAGTCATGGAAATCCATTAGAAGAAGTCAGGGATTGATGAAATGAAATTTTGCTTGCCAACTTGACTTAAATTTTGCCTCACATAAACTTAAGTAAAAAAAATCCCTGAAACGGTCTCCCACTTTGATAATTTTAACAGTTTTTTTACAAGTTTTATAAAAACAACAATAACCATTGCTAGTAGGGTATTTTGCAACCAAGAACTATAATCTCTAGTGCATCCTGAATAACACTTTTGCATGTGGGAAACGAATGGCACATGAATTGTCTCTAAAGTGAGCGAGAAATATTAGTTCCCAATCGGAAAATGTAGTCCAATTCTTTCACATTTTCCAGTTACCTCTTGCTTATTATGTCATTGGAGGGGAGGATCTCATCACTTTGTTGCTCTTTATCTTCTTCTTTTCAGTTCCCTGCTTTTGTTTATGATTGCATCATTATCTCTACAAGCTCTGCTGCCGGCCAATTTTTTATTTTTTTCACAATCGAAAATTTTGGACCTGTTGTTTTTACAATCTTCATGACAGTGAGGCAGGTTAGTAATCATTCTGCTCCCTGAAAAACTTTTTTGATTGAAGTAAAATCCTTCAAAGAGAAAAGAAGGAGGCTGAAGTTTCCACTAATATTCTGGTACTGTGTTTAAAGCATTGTGAGAAGCAGGTACTACAAGGAAACAATAGTCGGCCTTTGGCCCTCAGCTCTTAACTAGAGATGCTAAATGTCGGTTGAGCTATACAAGTGAGTTAAAGAACTTTATCTCCAACATGAACAAAGTTACATGAAAGGGCTAGCGTCCAGAAAACCAACCAGAGTGTTTGTGCATTATTTGAGTGGAATTAATTCTGTAAAACTTCAAAAGCAGGTTTGCATGCGCAGACTTTGCTGAAGCGGTACCAGGAAGTATCAATTGAACAAGCCAAAAAAAAAAAAAAAACCAGATAGCTTGCCTTAACCTCCTAAATGAATGCTAGGAGGTTTTTAAACTAGATTAAAGATTTTGGGGTGTTTTCTTTCATTTCTGATAAGTCATCCTTGGCACCTGGGCCACAGGCAGTCTCAACTGGTCACACTAAATGCCTTAATGAAAACTTTTGAATGGATTCAACCGAAATGCTTGCAATTTCGAATTTAAGTATAAAGTAGAATAAGAGTATTGTACTGTGTAGAGTAAGAGTATGTGTGTTTTATTAAGAATAAAAGTATTGTGCTTGTGAAATTTAGTAATGGGCCTGTTGCAAACTTTTGCCAGAGCAGAATTAAGAGTTGTTTCCTGTAGATAATGCCTCAAAAATCACGATGGGCGCATCGGCAAAGTCTGAAATGCACTCATAAATTCACAATCTGCGTAAGAAATTTGCGTTCTTTTGAGCTTCCTGCTTCAAAAACGATACTACTGCATAGGTAAACATTCTATTAGAGGAGTCGCTCCATCGTCGGCAATATTCATCATGGCCGACGCTTGCGCAGTTCCTCGCGTAATTCGAGGAGAGTTCAAGGTCAATCAAGGTGGGCGAGGAAAATATGAACGTAAACACGTCGATTGTTATCTGATTTAATCCTGTTCAGGTGTCATCTCGTCCCATCACACGTGTTTTGGCGGATTGGCGTCGGCCATGATGAGTATTGTCGCCAATGGAACGACTCCTCTAACAAAATGTTCGCCTGTGCCGTAGTATCGTTTTTGAAGCGGGGAGCTCAAAAAACCGCAAATTTCTTACGCAGATTGTGAAGTTATGAGTGCATTTCAGACTTTGCCGATGCGCTCACCGTAATTTTTGAGGTATTATCTATAAGAAACAACTCTTAGTTTTGCTCTAGTAAAAGTTTGCAACAGACCCATTGGCTTGGAAATATGCTAAATAGGTCTATTAACGCTGGAAAAAGTAATGACGTTAACAAAATGCAATAATTAAAATGAAAACACCAGATGAAAACGCAAAAGGGACCCGCAGCACTATCGCGTGAAGTGTGGCAAAATTAGACTTGACAGGCGATGTGGCGTGCGAGCAGGGACCTGTAGAAAGCGGTATTTGGATTTGGTCGTTTTTGGCGGTAAAGCGGTGTTACGAAAGGCCCAAATGGTAGTTTGGATCATGTTAATGAACTTATGTTTTTCGGCCACGAAAACTTTTTTCATAATTTGAAAACATTTCTTGCAGTTCCCACATCAAATACTTTTTACATTTCTTTGCAAATACACTTTATATTGAATTTTTAAAGACTCATGTCAGCTTTCAGTTTGAAAAAATTGAACTTACAATGTCTCATGATGAACTCAGTCGCACAGTTGTACGCATTTTTTTTTGTTGTTAGGTAATCATTTTCTATGAACACTTTAAACTAATTTACACTATGTGCATTTACACAGTGAAGTCTGTATGTTTATAAAATACGAATTGGAATATCGACGGTGTAAGTTGGCAATCACATAACTCGTTTGCGATGTCTGAAAATCTCGGCCTCTGTGTTATTTTTTTAATGGAGAACAAATTGACATCATTTCTTGAAGTTTTTGCAGAATTTTCTTCGCTTAAAGAAGAAAAATCACGGCAGTTTTAAAGAATTGCCGTTGAGTAGTTTTCCGTTTAAAAAATAAAGTATGACAGGGAGTCTGCGACATTGCAAACCGAGATATGTGATTGCCGACTAACACCGTCGATATGTATTATGTTATGTGTGGCTCACACATGAGATGATGTGTGGCGCATTATGAGTTGCGTTTGATCATAGAATAATAGCTAGAGAGGTACCTGGCAGATTCTCCCTACAGTCCCTTCATGCTGAGAGCAAAGACAATGCGAATCTATTTCTGATTGGTATTTTAGGCCTTCTCAGTGTCGAAAACAAGAATACAGATTACATTTTCACCAATTGCAAAGATTATAAACTGGAATGGACCGGGGAATGGGGGGTACGGCAAGGAAAAAATGGAATGAGAGAGGGAACGGAGATGGGAATTCGGGAATGGGTTGATCAAAGATTACCAAAAACGTCCGATTTGATCAAAGACATTGAATTACGTAGACCGTGCATCTGGCTTGGTTTTGTACAGGTGAAGCGTGACATGTTTCTCAAAGCCCCATAATGGGCGGGCAGAGAAGGGGAGAGAGCATGTGTCCCAAGCACTTGAAGAGACTGCAGAGAAGCAATGGAGAATTCATTGGTGCGCTCGGTTTTTCAGGAATATCTCGTTTAGAGGCCCTTTTCAGACAAAATTACTAGGAAGAAAAGTTTTAGTACGTATAATTTTACAACCGCATAGCAATGTTCCATTTTTCTGAACTAATTGTTAACCGAGAAGAAAAGCTTCACAATCCGACCAAAATTCACTTGAGCCACTACTGCGGACGCACAGATGTGTGCAATTGGGACACTTAAACTCATCGATGCTAGGTCCGGTGCGCCATGCGAATTTTAAAAAGTTGTCACGCCCTCTATAACACAGGATGCATGGTCTACTTGACTTAATATTTTTGGATATGATCCATATGCCGCGTTGTCTCAACTCTCTCTTTAAGGGACTCTAATCCTCCCGTAAGATCGCGTATAGTCACTTTTTTGAAGCGGACTTGGAGTCGTTTTCCGCGAAATTTAAAACGGCAGCCGGAGCTTCGGTCTGGCGTCAGTTGAATGATTTTGTTACTTGGTGAATGTCAGGATTCAGGGGGCCACCAATTCCTGACCATCAACCAACGTTCCGAATCAGATGAATTTCACTTGTCTTCCCATCCTCTATCTACTTAAGTACAAAAATCTGTTGAAAACGATCAAATTTAAGAAATTCGATTGTTGAACTAATGACAAACTGACGCTAAAGCGCAGGCTGACTGTGTATTTGGCCTCACAAGGTAATTCAAAATTCTATTTTTCTCCATTAGAGCTGAGAGTAGAGACGCATCAGTAACACGCTCCTGCTTATTGATGATCTGCAGTAGGCTTTTTGGTCAACCCTACCTCCGGAGGTCAGTAAAGAATCTATGCTGAACTCAAACGCCGTTAGAATCTCGTCCCGTCACACGAAGTTTCGGCGGATTGGCGTCAGCCATGTTGCATATTGAGTAGTATACTATTGAGCAGGAGTTAGATGGAACGACTCCTTTATCAGAATGTTCACCTGTGCTGTAGTATCGTTTTTGAAGTGGCAAGCTAAAAAAAGAGTGCAAATTACTCACGCATATTGTGAAGTTAGGAGTGCATTTCAGACTTTGCCGATGCGCTCATCATGACTTTTGAGGCATATTTCTACAAAGATAGACTCTTAGTTTTGCTCCAGCCAAAGATAGCAAGAGGCTTATTGAAAGAAATGATATCTACATTTTCACAGAATTCAACCTACCACTGCTTTTGAATTTCTTAATGCTCTTATCTGTCAGCCAACCTTTTTAAAAACTCATTCCAACCAAAGCATAGTGCCATTTATCATTGAAGATAAATTATTCGCCAATATCTTCAATGAGCTCGCTCAGTAATTTTTAGTTCTTGCATTTTTTAAAACTTGAGAATGCACATCGTTGACAGGAATTTTCTCATATTTTTTAAAGGACATTAAGGCACCGAAAAGAGTTGAAAGCTACAGGATTCAAGTTTACATTTAAACGCATATCGCTGCGAATGGTAAGATTGCAGCCCCAGAGATCTATCCAGTCGCGGTTGCTGCATGATGCTCCTGAGCCCTCTTGAGTCATCTGTACTTCGTCATAGAATGAAGAGACTAACGCTGTGTTGTAGTCGTAGTCTATTTATTCTATGACTCCGTGCGTTGATACGGTCATACAGAGCATGGTTCACGCAATAGGAATCAGCAGCATCATGAAGCAAAGGCCACCGGATCGATCTCTACGGCCGCTATATTGCCATTCTCGGCGATGCACGTGCAAATGGATCCTCAAGTCACGCAATTTTCAATTCCATTTTTGTGCCGCATATCCTTCAAAAAAATTTGAAAAAATTTCTGTCAAATAAATCTGTTGCTTTCTTCTTGTAAAATACAATAATCAAAAATTACTGAGCAAGCTCACTATTCTTTTGTTTTTGTTTTTTTGGTCAAGCATTTTCCCGGGCATAATACTCAAATATTAATAACCTTTTCAGGTGCTGTCTGTATTACTATCGTGTTATAGCTACTCACACACCGTCAGTAATATCAGCATCATAGGTGTAGTTTTAATATTTATTGCCACTTTCCTACGGCTGTACTGTGATCAACAGATGAAAACATCAAAGAGACGCAATCATCCTCTACTATCAACCCCTGTCTAATCATTCTCCGTTTACTACAGGTATTATCTAAAGATTTCTATCATTCTAAGTGTTGTAATAAAACATGTACGATACCTTTATCTGTGTCTCAGAGAGTGAAAGTATTAAACGAGGGGCGTTCAATAAGTAAGTATCCCCCCTCTCTAAAATCAATAGGAATCAACCAATTTTCAAAAACTTGGACTCAAAATCTTCCTTAGGATATACTAAGTTCAACAAAACAAACCGCGACAAAATCGGACCATGTGCGGCCGAACGCGAGCCGTTTGAACGCGCCGAGGTGCACACCGCTCCCGCCAAATCCGCGGAAATTTGTCGGAAAAAAATCAAAGTAGTTTTTTGTAGAATAAAGGGCTTACCTCACCTCTTCACATAACCAGCTCGATCCAAGCAGGTCTGATACTGATCGTGAGACTAAGAGAACAACTTTTGGATACCACGCGTGTAGAGGTGCTTCAACTGGCTGGGGATGAAAGTGTTGACGGCTTGTTTGACCTCTTCCACTGATTCAAAATGAACTCCCCCAGTTCAGATTTCAGAAAGGGGAATAAATAGTGGTCTGTTTTGCCATTTATTACCGTATCTAAAATCTGAACTCGGCGGAGTTCATTTTGAATCAGTGGAAGAGGTCAAACAAGCCGTCAACACTTTCATCCCCAGCCAGTTGAAGCACCTCTACACGCGTGGTATCCGAAAGCTGTGCTCTTAGTCTCACAATCAGTATATCAGACCTACTTGGATCGAACTGGTTATGTGGAGAGGTGAGGTAAGCCCTTTATTCTATAAAAACTACTTTGATTTTTCGTCAGTGATGAACGACTGAAGCGTTGGCAGAGAAGCTCTTCTCATGTCGCGGACTTCAAATTTCCGCGGATTTGGCGGGAGCGGTGTGCACCTTGGCGCGTTCAAACGGCTCGCGTTCGGCCGCACATGGTCCGATTTTGTCGCGGTTTGTTTTGTTGAACTCAATATATCCTAAGGAAGATTTTAAGCCCAAGTTTTTGAAAATTGGTCCATTCCTATTGATTTTAGAGAGGGGGGATACTTACTTATTGAACGCCCCTCGTAAACGAGAGTTCCACAAGATTTTTGAGTCCTCTAGCTCAGGAACAACTGCCATTCAAATTTGTGAAATTCATGTTTGTGTCATAGGTCAAATCTGAAATTCACTCGTGAGTTAGCAGGGGCACCCAGAGTTAAGAACATCATGGCCATTTAACAAATTATGTAGGCAAAAATTATAGATCGTATTTGACAGTGGTTCTTTTAATCATCATTTATCACTATTAACTAGGTTTTTAACGAAAATTTCGGTGATAGGTCAAAATGTCCAAAAAAAAATGTCCAACAAGCAAAAATGTCCAGAGTTGAGAATGTCCCTATTTTACAAATGTCCAAGTATCTGAAATGTCCAATACTGGTTCTGTGGCCAAACACAAAAATGCCCAAAAGTCCATTTATTTTTGTTTCTAGATATTCTTCATTCTTGATCACTTTCCTCATTATTCTCGTCTTCGGGCTCGTTGGAAACTCGAATGTAATAGGCAATGCCCCTTAGGTACCGTGGAATGTCATCTTCATCTTTGAATTCTTGATAGCGTTGGACGCGCTGTAGGATTCTCTCCTGATTTCTTTTCGACTTCTTTGAAATTTGTTGTTTGATCCGCGTATGACCCTAGTCGAGCTGTTGGCAGAGCTCTTCTGTATCCCTTTGATCTTTCTGCATATATTCTATAAATTTCCAAATATTAAGATGATGGGATTTCACCATTTTCTGATACTTGGAGTGGTACGACTCGACGACGTTGTTAGTCCGGTGTAGTTGGTTTAATACCAAGTCGTAAACACACCACGTTTTGGGAGGGAATCTTGGGGGAACTGCGGGACGCCGCCCCCTTGCAGGTCTACCCTTCACATAGGTTCTTTCAAGGTACTGTACGAAATCTTCCACTTCGTCAGGGGCATCATCCTTTAGCTCATTGAAAACGGTGAGAATTTCATCTAGAGGGACAAATGGTAGTGCCATGAATTGAAGGAGACTGTTTCTAATTTCAGGATTTTCCAGGTCCCTGTAATATTGCACTAATTCCAGCTTTTGAATGTTTTTGAACATAGACTGTTCAAAATGAAACAGGCAAGAATGTATTTGTGCTTGCGGAAAAGCGTCTCGGCAAGCATTAATGTTAGCTATTTCAAAATCAGACATCAAATGTGGTGGATTTAGGTTAAGATTGTGACGCACTGCAAACGCCTTCAACTCTGTGTAAACATTGGAATACGTTTCTTCAGTCCTTCGTTTGGTGCATTTGTTGCATATTCTTTTAGTTGAGACAAGAACGTTCTCACAGCAACACTGGCAACGTCAGGCGCATGTGTATGCTTATGGCTCCCGCTGGTTTTTATTTGAATATTTTCCAAAGAGCGACGCCAAGAATGGCACAATTTGGGCCAGAAGGGATTTTTCTGAAACCGGGCCCAAACGATACCTTATGATACCCTAAAACTCTGGTAAAAATTTTAGCTTGAGTATACGCACCGTTTTTGAGAAATGGGGGGGCAAAGTTGCCATATCACCATCATTCTGGACAGCATTTTTACAGCAAAAAGACGGGAAAAATGGACGAAAAAGTTACACTATTGATGGGTTTGGGCTGTAAATGTTCTTATTGAGCCCCCGTGCATGTAACTGTGTTCAGTTTCAAAAATTTTGGACGTACAGTGGTCCGAAATGGGGAGAAATCGTGGACAGATAAGGATTCTTTGTCAAACTTTTTAAAAATGGAAGTAAAATTGTTGGTCTATTGCAGAGATCATGTGAAACAATGTTCTTATCGGTCTTCAATGCATTCAATTGAGTTCAGTTTATCAAATTTTCATCGCACAATGGTCCAAAATGGGAAATCAGTGGACAAATTAAGATCTTCTGCCTAACTTTTTAAAAATGATGTACGACTATTGGTCCCCTGCAGAGATCATGGCGAACAATGTTCTTTTCAATGCATTCAATTGGGTTCAGTTTATCAAATTTTCATCGCACAATGGTCCAAAATGGGAAATCAGTGGACAAATTAAGATCTTCTGTTGAAATCTAACCTAACCTAACCTAACCTAACCTTTCCTAAATCCTTAGAAAGGATTTATTGTAAAGTATTATTCTAACTACAATTATTCTCTGACAACTAACTAGGACAAAAACCACCCAGTTTGCCGGATTTTAAGGATCCAAAAGCTAAGTTCCTCCTGAATTACCGTTTCCAGACCTCATTTGTTCAGTTCAAAACAGTGAACATGGATAGCTTTTATTGGCTACTAACTTATTTTGAATTTACACCTTTCGAATCTAGTGAAAAACCTCATAGTTTCATGTTATTTTTCAAAAATTTCAACAGAAGATCTTAATTTGTCCACTAATTTTCCATTTTGGACCATTGTGCGATGAACATTTGATAAACTGAGCTCAATTGAATGCATTGATAAGAACATTGTTCGCCATGATCTCTGCAGGGGACCAATAGTCGTACATCATTTTTAAAAAGTTAGGCAGAAGATCTTAATTTGTCCACTGATTTCCCATTTTGGACCATAGTGCGATGAAAATTTGATAAACTGAACTCAATTGAATGCATTGAAGACCGATAAGAACATTGTTTCACATGATCTCTGCAATAGACCAACAATTTTACTTCCATTTTTAAAAAGTTTGACAAAGAATCCTTATCTGTCCACGATTTCTCCCCATTTCGGACCACTGTACGTCCAAAATTTTTGAAACTGAACACAGTTACATGCACGGGGGCTCAATAAGAACATTTACAGCCCAAACCCATCAATAGTGTAACTTTTTCGTCCATTTTTCCCGTCTTTTTGCTGTAAAAATGCTGTCCAGAATGATGGCGATTTGGCAACTTTGCCCCCCCATTTCTCAAAAACGGTGCGTATACTCAAGCTAAAATTTTTACCAGAGTTTTAGGGTATCATAAGGTATCGTTTGGGCCCGGTTTCAGAAAAATCCCTTCTGGCCCAAATTGTGCCATTCTTGGCGTCGCTCTTTGGAAAATATTCAAATAAAAACCAGCGGGAGCCATAAGCATACACATGCGCCTGACGTTGCCAGTGTTGCTGTGAGAACGTTCTTGTCTCAACTAAAAGAATATGCAACAAATGCACCAAACGAAGGACTGAAGAAACGTATTCCAATGTTTACACAGAGTTGAAGGCGTTTGCAGTGCGTCACAATCTTAACCTAAATCCACCACATTTGATGTCTGATTTTGAAATAGCTAACATTAATGCTTGCCGAGACGCTTTTCCGCAAGCACAAATACATTCTTGCCTGTTTCATTTTGAACAGTCTATGTTCAAAAACATTCAAAAGCTGGAATTAGTGCAATATTACAGGGACCTGGAAAATCCTGAAATTAGAAACAGTCTCCTTCAATTCATGGCACTACCATTTGTCCCTCTAGATGAAATTCTCACCGTTTTCAATGAGCTAAAGGATGATGCCCCTGACGAAGTGGAAGATTTCGTACAGTACCTTGAAAGAACCTATGTGAAGGGTAGACCTGCAAGGGGGCGGCGTCCCGCAGTTCCCCCAAGATTCCCTCCCAAAACGTGGTGTGTTTACGACTTGGTATTAAACCAACTACACCGGACTAACAACGTCGTCGAGTCGTACCAAAAAACGGTACGACAATCAAATTGTGCCAAAAAACGGTCGTTTTTGGCGTCGCTCTTTCCTGTTGTCGAGCATCGAGCGTCACAGCTACCCCTGTTATGGCACCTCCAGTAAATTACAGTGTTCACTTTGTTTGCTGAGTGGCGTTGATACAGAAAGTCATCATGAATAAGAACAGGTTTATTTTTTTGGCTTTTCAATAGCCTTGGGTTCGCCATCACAAAAATCACAATAAAATCACCAATTTTTTTAGTTTTCACCAATTAGTTTAGTTTAGAATCATAAAAAAATCACAAATTGTAAAATTTTGCCCCTGTAATTGGTTTTACCGCATTTTTTAACAAACGAAAATTTTATAAAAGCCAAAAAGTTTCACAACTGAGGTTAGTTCAAGAAAAAAAGATTCTCAAATCTTCCCCGTCGTCTCCATGGATTCGAATTTATTTAGTATTCAAGCCGACAATGTCGCCACCTTCTAATTTTTTTGCAAAGGGAATGGACTTTTGGGCATTTTTGTCTCTGGCCAAAAAACCAGTATTGGACATTTAAGATACTTGGACATTTTTACAATATGGACATTCTCAACTCTGGACATTCTTACTTGTTGGACATTTTTTTTTGGACATTTTGACCTATCACCAAAAAATTTCGAATCGTTAAAACGTTAGGAGTGAAAAAGACGCACCAACTGTGAGAAGTCCCAAAATAAGAGCCACACTTTATTATGTAAATAAAATGGATTCTATATTACTGCAACTTTTTTGCTACCAGCTCGCACATTATAGTCACCTCAACGTTCCTGCAACATAGACCCTGCAACGTTCCTGTAAACGTTGTCGCTGCAAAGTTACAACGAGAGCTTATAGTATAGATTGTTAAAGAGGTTATGTAGCAACATTTTCTTACCCTTCTTCCTGACTTTCCAGGTTATCCCTAACTCTTAGATTTTCCGTCTCCCTGAGTTTCCCCGACTCACTGGTCAAACTCGATCACTTAAAAACCATATTATTAAGGCGCAGAGTCTGGGGTTCTGTCTGCTTGGGAAAACAAGCGTCGTGGTTAGAGACAGTGCTCTATGTTTCCTGTCCAGACAACAGCTCAGCAGAAAATTGCAATAATGTACAGCGTTTTAGCTCCTCAGTTCTCGTGTGAACGCATGTCAGCCCGGAAAATCGGTGGCCTGCGTAAGGCCCTAATTGACCAGGAGGATTAGACCGCAGAGGAGAAGGGATGCTGAAGCAAAGCTACTCGCCACTCATAGAAAATCTCTGAAAACAGTCTCGTCTTAGCTCACCGGCGATCCTGGCCAGGCCGCGTATCGGCCCGCCACGCGCCGCGCTGCGCCGCGGTCTAGACGGACTCCGCGCGGGAGTCACTTGCTAAAGAAAGGTAGACCACTTTGTCCGGAAAGTTTTTTCGGTTTGTTGTTGGTTTGTTTAATATAAGTGTCCATCGGAATTGAAGTAAAAAGTTTTATATTTTCGTCACAGTGCTCTGCTTACCCCTCGAGGAGTCGAGGAGGGCTCATCACGCTTTTTTAAATTAATTGTGCCTCCGCTGGTGGAGCTACCGCCCCCCTCCCCTTCAAGAAGGAAAGTTCACGGGAGTTTTCTTTTTCCTCCAGACTCCGTCCTTTTTTCTTCTCGCCCGCTTTACAGAGGACTAGAACTCTTCGATCCTAGGCACCCGAATTTCCGAGGGGAACTACTGACGGGGGGAGAGCTGCCGGGCTCATCATGGAAGAGCTGTAAAGTTTCGCAAAAAGTTGTCTTCTTGCTTGAAAGTTAACTACTCTCTAGGTTTGTTTTCTTTTCCCAATTCTCTATGACTTTCCCATTTTTCCATGTTGGTAGATACTCAGGTGAGGGTCCTCGGGTCCTTACATCGTTACCATTCCTTAGCAGATGCTTTTTAACAGCTGATCGAAAAGTTGAAAAGACATATCTGAAAAATTATTGTCAGCGTAGGCCATTAAGAGCTGCCACATTGTTAAGAACCAGCCATCACATGGTAAGTATGATGATGTTACAGCGAAAATAGAAGGTTTGTTTCCAAGTAAAACAGCGGAGATGAAAAAAATTGGCACAAAAACAAGTTCCCTTTGAATTTGCTACTTAAAAATTGCATTTCATCTGATCAGTTTTTATTTGTCCTAACCAGGTGGCTCAATGTTGATGGGCGGATCGTCCTATGAACCAGACCTATCTGTACTTGACCGTGATACCTACTTGACACACTTGGGATTGTAGGGAATTCATTGTTAATATGCCGCGAAAATGTCATATGTAACCACCGACACCAGACTTATTTCATTTTAGGTATCCTGGTCAAGTTTAATTTTTATTTTATGTCCTTTAAAATAGTTGTGTTCCATACTGTGATAGAAATTTTGGCTTATTAGCTGCTGGTTTGAATGGATGGGTAGTCTTTCAAATTTAAAAATGTAAACTCAAAAAAGTATTGTCTCAGAAAATTGTCTAACTTTCTTTATTCACTTATCTTGAGAAGGAAAGATGAACCCATCTTATTACAAGCTTTTTGTGCGCTATTTTACGAAAAGGAAGTTATGTTCTTCCGTATTTAAGACAACGTATGTTTGTTTACATAAATTACTACATCTGAGGGGCTCGGAAGACGAGGCGCACAAGTGCAGTTTTTATTATTTCGAAAAAACAAATCTGAAGTTCTGGATTATACTCAAACCTATAGAGTGTTCCGAATACCTTCAAAATTTACAAGTGTTTGTCTCGCACCTTCATGAACATCTTCTGAAATTTAGCTCAGTTGAGCCAAATTGAGGCCAGCAGTTGGGTTTAAAGTGATGGTAGGTCGCACTTATCCTGCGTCCCCTCTGAACGAAAAATGCACTTATCCCATTCGCTATTTTCTCTGTGTCAAATGACTTCCAGACAAAATCTCTCAGTATTCTGATAGACCTTACCCTCAACTACCAAAAAACACGCACAACTCAATTTTGATCAAAGACATGCTTCTGAGCACACAATTCTATTTTTAATTCTATCCTTCCTTTTTGAACTTGAAAAACCGCGAGATGGTACGAATATTTGTTCCCCCTTCGCCTTTTCTTCCTATTTTTATCTATAATGTGTTTTCAGTGAGATCTAGTCGTGTTCCTCTATCTCAGTTGTTGAAATACAAGCATAACGAGCTATGGCACGCAGCTGAGGCGGCTGGGCTCTAATCTCTAGTCTCGAATTTCTAAAATTGCACTTATGCGTTTTGGCTTCCAAGCCCCTCATCTGAAATCGTTTGCATAACTTCATATTTTGTAATTTTACCATGCTTCTCTCTCTTTCGTTAATCTTTGTGAATAAACGGGACGTAGACTATTGTCCTATGCAAGAGTGCTATAATATCAAGTCAGATTTTGCTATCATTTCGCGCATAAATTAATGAAGTAATATGTCACGTGAGTACCTCATGCTATTGCTATAAAGAATTCACTTACCTTTGAGAGGCTTATCGCATGTATATAAAGAATGGATTGTTTATGAGAGTGTGTGTGTATATGTATATATGTATATATTCTTGGACTTTGCCATTAAGTTGAGCATGTATGGTTTCCTATCTTAAGTTTAGCAGACCATGCTTCGGTGAAAAAGTTGTACGTTGAGCGTATATAAAAGAAATAAGCTCAACGTACAACAATTTGTCAATCCGCTGCTCGCACCAAGCAAGCAAGCATAGTTTCATCTCTGATTTTTTCCTCATCGTGCTGCAAGACACGCAGTGCAGTTTTTTGTGAAACCGAATGACTAGCGCGGGGAATCTAGGTCCTAACATTTTCGAATAATTACGACCGAAACAAATATGTAAGTGCGGCATGTCCAAAAAATCACCTCATCAAGCTGATTTAAATGGCTTAAGTTGTTATATTAAGAATTTTGAAATCAAGTGCCCCACAAGGGCCCAAAATTTTGGAAAGATTATGACCACAACGTGTATCAAAGTGCAGCATGCCTTCGGAAAAGTTTTTTGCTCTGGCGATTTTGCGCTCTCCTTTCCCCCGAAAAATGTCATCCCTCAACTCCCCCCTCCAAAGGCCTCCGTTCAAAATTAACTCCTCCCCCCTCCAAAAAAAATTATAAGTTCCCCCAAATAACACGTTACCTCGAATTTCTCAAGCCTCATGTTGACAAGGATCTGATCATTTCCTTTAAATGTTGGCAACATCGGGAAAAGCTCTGGACCTATTTAAAAGATGACTTCTAGAGAGAAGCTCACGTTCTTTTTAGAACTGGAATAAATTGTCATGCCAAATGCGATGGGTCGTTGCAGCGGCCAGTCAATCCCGGCTATGTCACAATGATGAGGGCTTGAATTCCGGACGTCTGCCTTTATTCCGTATGTTTTCGCAACACTGGGAAAACCTCTGGAGCTTTTCAACGAACTCTTACGCAAGGAAATTTTACGCGCTTGTCAAATTTAAAGTTATCTTCTAGGTACCTTAAAAGCAATGGATCGTTGCAACGGACTATCAATCCCTGCTCAGTCACAAAGTTGAGGGCTTAATTTCGCACATCTGATCTTATACCATGTTTTTTGGCAACACTGGGAAAACCTTCAGAGCTTTTCAACAGATGATTTTGAAAGGAAATTTTACGATCTATTCAGAACTGGAATAATATTTCTTGCCGAAGGCGATTTGTCATTGCAACGGGCCGTCAATCCCTGCTGTGTCACAAGATTGAGCGCGTAAATTCTACAAGTCTAATTACATTCTGTATTTTTGGCAACACTTGGAAAACCATGAAGCTTTTTTACAGATGATTTTGAAAGAAAATTTTTCATCTCTTGAATGATCATCAGATGCACACTTACGAAGCTAGGATAAGAGCATTTTTGAACTTTTGTAAGAAATTAAAATTAACTAGGCAACATTGCTTTAGAGCTTGGTTAGAGCAACGATTTAAGAGCTTGATATTGTGAGAAGAGAATAAATCAGTATGCTTTACATTAGTTGATTTGTGTGTAACCTGCTTGAAGTTTTTTACTTTACAAAATGCTGAAAAATGATTAGGTTGATTACAATTGTAACAGATAATGCTAAAGGCAGGACATCTAATTTTATGATATTCTTGCCCACAATTTTCACAAGGAATTACTTTAAATTGATTGGCAGTTGTTTTTTGGATACGCCAATTTGGACTTGATGAGTCAATTTTAGAGCAACTATGATATACTGGCCAGGATTGTTCTTTTTGGTTTTTTATTGATGATTTGATAGGACTAAGAGAATTTTCGAAATTTGTTGACAATGGATTCTCGAGATTATCACAACTAGATGAATTATCAAATATTGTTGATAAATCTTGGAAATTTTCAATCATTGTTTACGACTGCGCATTAATTTCACTTAAATAATTGGTATTTGCATCATTTAACTTGGATTTAGAACTGGATGAATCGCTTTCATTTTCTAGTGTTGGTTGACTAATATTAAATTTTGATTTGGATTGATCAATATTCATTTAACTTGGATTTAGAACTGGATGAATCGCTTTCATTTTCTAGTGATGGTCGACTAATATTAAATTTTGATTCGGATTGATCAACATTGTAAATTGAATTCGGCTGATTAACACTACTTATTGGGAAATTTTGAGTGTTATCGTTTTCTTTGCTTAATTTACGAGCTTGCCTTCGTTTCGAACTACGACTTAGCTTAGGTTTGCCTAAAGAACTCTCTGATTGACAACTAGGTTTTAATACATGAGTAATGTTACATTTTACTTTAATCGTTTCACAATTTGAGGAAATGAATTCTTTGTTGCCAATGCAGCCAATGCTGTTCTTGGTATCAAAAACAATTTTAAATTCTTTGAGAGTTGAATTACGAGTTGATTCATTGATTGTATTGACAATATTAATTAAACCTAGCTGCTCTGCAAGAGCAAGGGCAATTATAGGTGTACATGAAAATTTCGTTACGTAAAAAATATCATTAAAATTTTCATCATTGAACACAAAATTTAATCTAGTTTCACCAACGATATTTATTGGTTGATTGGTGAAGGTGTTGATTCGGACTCGTGGTGGTAAGAGCGCACATTTTTTAAGTTTAATTCGTTAAATCATTTTTCAGAGATTAAATTGGTTTCCGCACCTGCATCGACTCAGGCTTGGACTTGTTGCCCATTGATAAAAATATTAATGAACCATTTCTTTGCTTTAAGAGCATTACTCACTTGACCAATATTAAGGATATCTGAATCATTATTATCACTATCACATTCACGCGAAGATGATCGAATGCTATTAACTCTAGCAACGTACATTTTTTGGAAATGACCAATACGATTACATCGTCGACACTTTACGTCTATGGCTGGACACTTAAATCGATGATATGAGTTGCTACATCTAGAACATTCGCGAGATGGAGATCGATGAGGTGATGAGCTTTTTCTCGATGCGTATGGGCTGCTGCTGCGACGATGAGATGTTCGTTGAGGTGAGCGATAAGGATATGGGCTGCCGTGTTTACTGCGTTGATGACGTCTTGGTGAGTAGCGATTACTGGGAGAATTTCTACGATGATAATGTGATGATGAGCGATCACGTGATGATGATGATCGACGACAATATCGGCTTCTAGAGGGTTGATGATGTTGTGAGTTGTCGAGAGCATTGACTTGTTTATTGAGAATTTCAGATCGTTCCTTAGCTAGTTGAAGTTTCTGAGCAAGGGCGAATATTTTATCAAGTGACGACTCTTCAGATTTAATAAGTTCTTCTTTGATGTTCTGATTTTCGACATTGAGATTACCAATAAACAAATCTTTGGTGATCGAATCTTTTAAGTTGCCGAATTGGCAATTAATGCTGAGATTTTTTAAAGACGTTAAAAACTCTTCAAGCGACTCATTTGGTTTCTGTTTCCTGCTGAAAAGGGTTAGACGTTCAACAGTAACATTGACCTTAGGTGAGAAATGAGCGTCAAATTTGGCTACAAGTTCGGTGTGTTTGACCGAATTAACATCAACATCAAAGGATTTGAAAATGTTTAGCGCTGGCTCACCCATGCATCTAACTAGAAGTGCATTTTTTCTGGGGTCGCCTTCCTGGGTGAGGTTTGCTGAGAGCATAAACAAGTCAAAATCAATTTTCCATGTCTTCCATTGGGCGGAGAGATCTCCTTTAAAAACCATTGACATGACATGAGGTAACATCAAAACTGGCTCTGTAGTTGTTACGTTCAGAGGTTGACGTTGAGGCAGGATTGGTGTTATCGTCTTGAGACATGTTGACGATTTGACGTTAAATTTTTGAGCTTAGACAATATTGAAGATTAACAGACAATTTTGAGGGGTAGTCATACCTACATTGACTGACCTGACAGTGTGACGATTGAACTGACAGAGAGACTTGGCGAGACTTAGACTGGACAAAATCAGTTTGATGTGACTGATTCAGACTTGACGTGACTGATTTAGACTTGACGTGACAGAGTTAGACTTGATGTGACGGATTTAGACACGACATAACGGACTTAAAGTTGATATGACCATAGACTTGACGTGACGGACTTACTTGAAAGACCAAGACATGACGTGACTGACTTAGACTTGACAGACGGACATAGACTTGACGTGACGGACTTACTTGAAAGATCATAGACTTGACGTGACTGACTTAGACTTGACAGACGGACATAGACTTGACGCGACGGATTTGGACTAGACATGACCATAGACTCGACGTGACGGATTCAGTCACATGACCATAGACTTGACGTGACGGACTTACTTGACAGATATAGACTTGACGGAGACAGGCTTGACATGACTTAGACTGGACAGATTAGACAGACATTGACTTGGCTTTGACAGATTGGCTTGACCATGATGAGACAGACTTTGAGGTTAAATAAGACATTGACATTAGACAGATACAGACTTGGCGTAGGCAGATTGGCTCGACCAGGATAACTTGACGAAACTGCACTGACGATGTACAAAGACCATTATTCAGTTGATACGAAAGGACACAGGATTGAATTGATTGATTGACTGACGGACTTGACGGTGACCGAAAATAGGCCTTCGAGCAGGCGACGTGGCGCGAGGGTGCGAGTCACATTTCATCGTTAAAATAGTTAAAAAACATGTTGAAATATCGAAAACGAACAAAGGCTAAACAGTTTATAAAAACATTATGACAAATTTAAAAACCCCGCACCTGACACCATGTTAAGTTAGTGGGAACGGACGACAAGAAGAGACGAGACGATTCAGGTGGACGCCATGACAGTAGTATATTGAAGGGGCCGCTTCCACAGAGCCTGGGCGGCTAGGCGCACATAGTTGCCATATTGACAATCAGCGACTTGAAAACCCCCAATGTTACTTCTTGTAAATCGACAGTACTCCCAAGCTCATTACCCATCCTATTTAACCTCACCACAACAGATCTATGATAGAAACCCCGGTAAGATAGCGAAACAAAGAAAAATTCGGAATTATTCCGTGTAACCCTACCGGGCACACGGAACCTAAGACGAGAAAGAAGAACGGAAGAATCAATCAAGTTGTTAATGAGCTTGAATGAGAAAAACGCCTCTTGACACTGGCCGGAATTAAAAACACTTAAAAGATCAAAATCAAACATAACAGGTCTAAAATCATGGTCAAAGAAGGACATGGGATTGCCAGATCGATAGGTAAGACTCTAAGGAATACATGTTGAACCCTTTCCAGCTAGCTGTACAATACCTGAATCATAAAAAGGCTTCCAAATAGGAAAGGCATACAAAAGAATAGGGAGAACAATCGATTTATAGAGATGCAATAATAATTGAGGTTTTCTGAAGAGTTTAGATTGACTTAATAAAAAGAAAAGGGTTCTAAAAGCTTTCGTTACAACAAACTCGATGTGCCCCTTGAAGGTCAAGAGCTGGTCAAAAACCACACCAAGGTCCTATACAGACTCTTTTCTAACCAAGCTCACACCATCAATGGCATAATCAACAGAAGCAGCAAAAATCCTTGAAAATATTACGTACAAACATTTCCTAGCATTGGTAGAGAAGCCATTGGCGACCAACCATAAAAAAATACTCTGAAGGTCGAGCTTTAAAAAAGCAACATCAAGAGCAGTAAAGATCTGCTCATACACCTTGAGATCATCAGCAAAAATCAAGAAATTACAAAATTTTATTACTTGCCCTATATCATTGAAATAAATCCAAAATAATAACGGGCCTAAGTGCGAGCCTTGGCCAACTCCAGATATCACATCGATAAAGCCAGATATAAACTGTAGCCAACCCAAACAGCAGGTTTGAAAGAAAGCCACTGTTTGCCAGCTCTTTTTTGATTCTATTGTTGAGGAGGGTCTCATAATGCTTCCCGTAATTTGAGAGTAAGGTTATCGGCCTGAACTTCGACGCGGTCTTCGGTATGAGCGCCAGCCTTCCACCCTTCCATTGCTTTGGAAAAGAACGCTCGCAAAGGCACCTGTTGGAAAGGGCAAGCAGCCTTTCGGGCATTATAGCCTGTCTTAACTATCTCGATCGTGAAGTGGTCCGTTCCCGGTGCTTTCTTCCTCTCTCTCGTAAGCCTTCCAACAGCTATGCTCATTTCTTCCGGGGAGAAGGGTGGTACTTCCTCTCCTCCATCCTTGACTCAACCTCCGGTCTCCCGTACCAGTCTTGATCGTCTCCTGGGAATAATTCCCTCACCACTGCATCGACGTCCACCTTCCCGATGTCTTGTATTTTACCTCCTATCTTCTCCATGACTATCGGGTACGCTTCTGTCTATGGATTTCTATCCAGGGCTCGTAGAAGCTCATTCAATTTTTCCTGCTTACTCCTCGCGATTGCACATTCCAACTCCCTCTTTTTCTCTCGGAGTTCGTTAGCCAGTCCTTCTCTTGCTCCCTTTCACGCCTCACTTTTTCTCGCTTTTTTGGACTTCCTTCTTATGCTG